GGAAAAACAATAATACTTTCTGGCATCTCATTTTCTTATTTTCATATCTGGAAAAAAATTATTCGATCGATTATTAAAAGCATTTGAAAAACATGTTCAAGTTTTAAACTTGATTTTTAATTTTGATCTCATTCACTTCTTCTTTTTATATGTTGAAAATTTTTCAAAACTTTAAAAATTATTTGAAAATTCGAAAAAATTTAGAATCGAAGACATATATACTTCATACATTGAACCAAATTGCATGATTTTTATTTATCAATTTTATTCACATCATAATTTATTCACATCATTTTACATATAGAGAGAAGTAAAAAAATACACATTCGATTTATAATTTTTATATAACTTACACTCTTTTATTAGCACTCTTTTATTCTTATTAATCTTCTTTATGATTAAATCTCATTAAATTAGATGCACACCAAATCCGTTAATTGATTTTAGATTTCATTAACAACGTTTAATTAGATTTCATGGTATATTTTAATCACATTTAAGTTAATATAGAACGATTAAAATGTATTTTTCATCACTTTTTTTTTATTGATACGATAACACGTAAATATTTTTTATCCAGAGAAGTTCAATGTACTAAAATTAAAAAAATCAATTTAAAAAGAAAGATTTTTCGTATTTCCTACACAAGTAAATACTAAAGAGTGTAGAATATAACTGTAGAATATGATTGTAGAATAATCCTTGTTTCTATCACTTGACTTCTCGAGAATTACTTAAATAATTTATGTTGACGTATCAAGATAAGTATACTATAGTAGTTCAGGGGCGGATTAAGCAAACTAAGGACCTTAATGATAAAATATATGGAATTTTTAAAAAGTTTTAGTATATGAATATACTAAAGTTTAGTATATAGTATATAATATAGTATATAGTATGTATACTATATACTATATAGTATATAGTATGTATACTATATACTATATAGTATATAGTATATAATATATATATATATATATATATATATGTATAAATCTATATAAATAAATGAATATATGTATACTTAAGTATTAAGAAAGTGTAAAAAGAAAAATAAGCAAATTATTATAATTATAATTACAATCATTATCATAATTATTTGTTAATCAGCGATTATTTAAAAATGGATAAAAAAAATATTGAACCCATAAAATAATAAAAATTTTGAACAAAATTTTATAATAAAATAAAATAATATTGTTTTGATAAAATGGATAATATATATATAGTTCTACAATATATAGAACTTATTAGAATAATTATCCATCATTATATTAATTAGAAATTTCTAAAAATCTTGCGAGAACAAAATGAAATAAAATCTATTATTTAAAGATGCATATTATTACGGCACCTTATCATTAAAATTTATAAAGATAATTTTCTTTCCTTCTCAGAAAATAGGAATTCTTTCTGTAAATATTCATTATGTAAATAATATTTTATAATTTATGATATAAATTTTTTAATTTATAAATACACGTTAAGTATGTAATATCTCAAAAACAAAGAAACTTTTTTCTCTAATTTTTGTATTAATAATATTAACTGTTATATAAATAGATATTTTAAATATTAATATTATTCTTTTTGTAAATGAAACAAGAAAAAAAGAGAGATAACAATTATCTTGAAAGTTCATATAGCAAAGACAAGCAATATATGGATAATAATTCGCTTCCTGAAACAAAGTCAGGAGAGTTAAACTCAGTAGAGTCTCAAGTTAGGATCATCATTTCAGAAATACGTATATCTTATTGTTAATGGTTCGTTATTTCGAAATAGAATGTATAATAACGTGGCCAAGTAAAATGACTAGATGTTGACCGACTTGTTCGGGTATATGAAGGTAGGTTAGGAGTACGGATTCTGCGGACAATCTTGTGGATTATTGCTTTTCAGAGAAATGGAGGAATATATATGGGTAAAAATAGACAAAGATCTATTGTGTATTTGAGTTGATATTTATTATTGATTAAGAAATTATATTGATTATATTGATTAAGAAATTGTTTTTCCGTTGATAGAATATTTTTCTAATAATTTTAATAATTTTAATAATTTCTCTCTTAATAAGAGAAAAATTGAAATTTTTAAAAAAACTAAACTAACTTTTACTAAATAGTGAAATTTTGAAAGCTTTCATATTTCAACAATTGAAATATATAAAATATATAAAATATTTAAAAATTAAAAAATTTAAAGTTATAGTATTATTTGAAAATATAATATAATTGAAATTTTGAAAATTTAAATTTTATTTTTTTGTATATAAATAAATGAATTTGATATAAATGAATTTATCAAAAATATTTATAAATATTATCAATGTATATTCATAATATAAATCTATTTAAATGCAAAGATAAAATAAATGAAATTCATAGAACAATGTTTACGAATAGTTGTTTCGTAATATGATTTCATCATTTAATTAGCATCCTCTAAGGTTGTCTCAAAATGAGTAATGCAAGGTCTGTTAGGAAAATCGATCGTGGTTAATGCATATAGTCATGGTACAATACACGTATTCCGATAATAAAATGCTACAAAAAAATTATTTGAAAAAAAAAAGATAATCATGTTTGATTTATGATTTCCGTTTTTTTCAATAAACGATTAAAAATAAAAGATTAAAAATTTAATTCAATGTATGATATAAACACATTGATATTTATAACGATCAATTTTTATTTTCTCTTAATATATTTGCATGTATAATTTAAAAAAAATGAATATATTTATTTAAATAGAAAACAATTTGTAATTTTTTTAATTTAATATATATTTTTATTTATTTTATATTATATATCTATAATATATTATTCTTCCTTATTGGATCTATATTTAAAACATTATTTATTATTAACACATTATCAATAAAATTCATCAGTGAATTCTGTTTCATAAATCAATAATATTTATCAAATTCAATCATATAATATTGTCAAATTTTTATCCAAGACTAGCATACTAATATTAATAAATATTATTTTTCCAATTTTATATTTTCAAAACAATTTAATATTTTTTTTTATATTTTATTTATTGTATTATATTATTTTATTTATAATTGTTCTAATCATGATTATTACGTTACATAGTAGTATTTATTTTATTTATTTATTTTCTGACGTAATGTTCTATTTAAAATTATGAATTATGAAAATTATGAATTATCTCATTCATTTGAAATATTCCATTTTATTGTGCTTTTATATCTTATCATATTATTGTTTCTTTATCTATTGTTACATTTAATGATATGTTTAATTATTCTATTGCATAGAATATTTAAAATAATTTTGTCCATAACATTTGCATAAATGCAGCAAATAGAAATATTCAATTCAAATATAAATTCATAGAATAACACAATTATTTCCATCTGATTTGAATTTGAAAGAGACAAAAAATATATATTATTATTATTATAACAATAATTTTTAATATAAAATAACAATATATACACAATAAAATAAATGAAATTCACAATTTTGTAGAATATAAGTAAAATATAAAAAAAAAAGGTTGAAACTTTTTGATTTTTTTTAAGGTTTAATAATATAAATAAAAGTGAAACATTTTTTTGGCATTAAAACATTGAAATTTTCGGTAAACGTAGCAATGATATTTGTTTAAAATTGCTCTATTTTATAGTAGTCTTCTAGAGATAAAATATAATAGAGAGAAAAAATAAAATTTTTTTTATTTTCATTTTAAAAAGATGAAAAGCAAAGATTTCGTACTGTAAAAAAAAAAAAAAAAATTCGTGACGTAAAATTCTTTGAAAGAGACAAAAGTTTTCAAAGCTTGAATCAAAGATTTGTTTGTCAGAGGAAACCAAACTTCTGTCTCCGTTTTATTCAAATAGTAATCGTAGGAAGAAGGATTCGTCATTCGGGGATTTTGATTGAATTTTTGTGTAAAAAATTCTTTCCCAGAAGAAGAAAGAATTCTTTGTTCTTCTGTTCTTGAACTTGTTTAATTCTTCAAACACTAGTTGCAACTTTTTAGTTCTAATCGTTTATAATTTAATTAGAAACTTATAATTTCCTATTTTTTTTTATGTTTATTCATATATATTTTATGTTTATATTTGTTTATTCAAGAAAAACAAAAAAAGAAAAAAATCATCAGGTTTTTACTTTTTTTAAGATTTAAAACTTTTAATATTATTTTTCATCTATTTTATAAGATTCTGAAAAAAAAAATAAAATTTTATTTCATTTTTATTAATCTTAACGTAAGATTCTTTCTGACCAATAAATAATAGGTATTTTTAATATTTTGTTGAATTGATATGTGTTTCATTCCCATGTATGCATATCTATAATTTAGATATTTACGTTTAATCCGGCATATGAATATGAATTTATAATATTCAATTTGCCTGAAAATACATGACTTTTCATTATAAAATTTATATTATCTATTTTTGTTAGAAGAATTAATCATTGATTTATATCAACAGTCAACATTTATTTGGAATTAATTCGAGAGTGATGTTGATTCATGTTTAATTTCATCATCAATATTTTTCAATTATTAATATAACATTTAATCGAATGTTACTATACAGAATTAAATTAAACATTTTAGGATAGAATTAATATTTTCATTATTTTAAAATTGAATTATAAATTGAATTCATTGGTAAGATTAGACATAATTATATAATATAATATTTCTATAATATTTCTTATAATTTTACTTAATATTTTTTTGTATGTGAAAATAAATATATGCCATTTTTATCGTGTCATTCGTATTACATGTATATTTTGAATCCGAAATATATCTCTTCTACGAAGAGATTATCAAAAATTTACGTTAATTTTGTATATTGAATACTCGTTAAGATACTTTTCATATAATTACTAATAAAAAAGTTTAAAAATGGATATATTTTTTAATAATGAAAGTAAATTAATTCATAAGAGAATTAATCATAATTAATCTTCCCTAATTTATGTATTAACATATTCTTTATTTTTCAGAGCCATACTGTCGGTTGACCTTTGATGGATGGTCCTGCTGGCCTAATACTCCAGCAGGAGTCACTGCATACGTCTCTTGCCCAAATTTCATCACTGGTTTCGACACTTCTTGTAAGTTATTTTTCTTTTTTAATTTTACCCATTTTGTATGTTTCGACGATTTAATTTTCTATAAAAATAAAGTAGAATGTAAAATAAAAACAAAAAATAATAATTTTCAATGAAAATAGATTAATTTAGATATAAAGGAAGGATGTGAGGAGAAATGTTAACAATTCGTTATATTGTAAAATGAAGATATAATGAAATATAATTATACAATAAAATAAAATAAAGAAAAAGGATAACGCTTCGATCTTTGCACAATATTTTATTGCATATCTTATATGTATGTACAATATTGAATGCATAATTAAATGCACATATCTTGTTCCGGATTAAAATGTTATTTTCTTTGAGCGCGATGTAAATTATATGCAAAATATAAAAATATATATCTGACGATAAAATATATCTCCATAATTCGACGATTCTTTATCGAATCTCTCAAATTGTACATCATGTTATTCCAACTTTCACCGACGACAAAGATCAATCGTTCAAGACGCCTCGCGTTCATCGAACATCACCCGTTTGTTCGTCATTTTTCTTCCATCCAACTCTTCCATAGCAGAACGTATACGCATGATTAAGAAACCATGATCGAATTCCTCGATAACACGAAGTATAATCAACGATCAACATCAGTGATCAATTCATCGATTATCTTCTTTCCAATTTGATAAATCCAATTGTAAATCTTTTCCATCGACCCTAGAACTTTTTTCTATTGATAATAGAACAGACTATACCCTTGATCACAGGATCATTATATTTGGACAACTTGATCATAAGATTGTTGTATCTTTCAGAACATTCGTCCAACGTGATGGTGCCCGATAATTTGGCAGCAACGATACCAGCCTCGACCGATCCGATCTCTATCAATCCCTCTATCACTTCCAATTTTATATCGATCGTGTCGTAATTATTATTGTATTCCTGGAATAAGTTCACCTCGCTCAGCATGTTACATAAAATATCAGTCATGTAAAAGATGAAGAGAATCGAGAACATCTCGATCAGCTCGATAATCCTTTGGCCCAGATTCATCCCGAACTCTTTGGGCGTTTTCGAGGATATTTGTTCCCTGGCGAATACCAGCATCAGGTATGACATCGTGTCCGTTTGTGGGGTAAGAACGACGAGGAATGTGGACAGAATCCCGTCGATCAATTGATACTTAATTGCAGAAGGTTGAAACGAGTACGAATAATGAACGACGTCGTCGATGAACCGACACACAATCTCGTTCACCGGATAGAAACAAGGATTCTCGGGATGTGCCACGTCCCAACCTCTCTTCACAATCTCTTTCAACACGTTGCACATAATTTTCATCAGATTGTCGAATTTATCCGCGGGTAGGCGCAACATATTGCCGACTATGTACCTGATGGCGCAATTCGAGATCCCAGAATCTTGATGGAAGAAGAACCTTCGCACGAGTTGTTCGAAGAAATCTTCGGACAGAAGATTGCAAATGCCCGCGTCTATGGAGCTCAAGAATGACTTGACGTAATGGGTGATCTTTCCTTTCCCGATTTCATTCGCCTCCGCGAATTTGTCGATCGTGTATAAGGCAAGTTTCATGAAATCGATCACGTACTCGTTGGGAGTACGTTTTATCAGTGACAACACGTTCGAGAACAAGTGTTCGTCTTTCGGCGTGAGCATGGAGATTAAACAAGCGAGATGAGACCAGGTGACCGATTCGGGATCATCCCTGAACAATTCCATACTCTTGGAGAACAAGACTTCTCGTATGGAGTGATTCTCCTCGATCTCCCACTGCGCTTGAAGGAAGTTGATTAATTGATCGCGAGGCGCGAGCATATGCATCAATCTTATTCCGTGCTTCCGAACGGACACCCTCTGATTGGCCAACGTTCTGGCGAACGATATCGTGTCCATTGCGTTCGTTCTTCTGCAAACATTTATCAGAGCCGCCAGAGCGACGGACAAGTAGTCTCCCTCGAAGAGTTTGGTCAGAAGGGTCAGGGAAACAGGTGGATTCGCGAGTATCATGCAATGGATAATGTGCTCGATCAATTCGTAATTAGTTTTCGCCTCCTCGTTTTGTATGTCTATCGATTTGTCCGTTGGAATGAACGGTTCCACGATTCTCGAGAACGTGTCACCGTCCACGAGGTTGACCAAGATCTTACAGACTTTCTTCTTCTTCGCCAAATCCTGGAGAGATTGCTCGACGAACTTGATTGGGATCTCGTTGTACCAGCGAGAAGCCTTGAGGAATCGCATCGTGTGCTCCGTGTACGAAATGTCCTGACATCCGTCCAGGTATTCCTTCCAATGTGCCAGAATCTTTTCTGGATTTCTTTTCAGAACCTCTAACGCCTCGCCTTTGCTCACGCTCGCGATCTCTTCAACCACCAAACTTTCGTATAAATCTTGTTCGTGTTTCGTTAATATACGTTTTAGATTGTCGATAACGTATTGATTACGTCTCTCGTCATCCGCAGACAAAATTTCCTTGACTTTTCCCATCAGCCAAGGATAGTTCTTGATCGACATGCGTTCCACGCGATAGGTTTTGTTTATGTGAGTATCGTTGAAATGATATATCGAAGAGCAGAGATTGTACACCATCTCGACTTTGTTCTGTTTCCACGGTTGCTGGTCGGAATCATATTTCTGAGAAGCTATTGTTATACAAATCTCCAAACACGTTCTTTCGTACTCGGAATATTTCTCAAGAATGTTCCAGTTGTCCATGTAGCTCATCATCTTTAATTCCATAAATATTTCGATCATCTGATAGATGGGTTGGGATTGAAGAATTTTATGATGGATGGCGGCCTCCACTATTCTCACGCCGGTCGTGTTTCTGATATTCAGATCCCCCTTTATGTGGGCACGCATGATTATATCCATCAAGATCGACCAGAAATTCTCACCCATTTGGGGAAGATCGTAAAGCTTGAGCAATATCTCGAACACTTGCATCAGGAACAAACCTTGCTCGTTCTTGTGCCTGATCTTGATGTACATCATGGTTTCTAACAGAGCTTCGTCATCGTTGTTCACCTTGCACGAATATATCATCTTACACACTAGTGCCGATCTATACTCCATTTCCGAGGTGGTATTTATCTGTTCCTTCAACTGTGGTATCGATTCATTGATGGGCAAGTAACATTTCCAACAAATTGTATAATCCATCCTCTCGTCCGAGCTGTCTCTTTGCAATTTGATTCTCGCCTGTTTGATTCGTTCCTTGACAGGTAACATCTTCAGCAACGTCGCCGTTACTTTATTCGAATCATCAAGGATACTCTTACCGTATACTTGTTTGTAAGATTTCAAGAAGAAATCGAGCTTTTTATCCTGTCGATAGTACTCCAAGTAATCCAACATGCTATCCGTTTCGAAGTTATCAATGTTCGTGGGGAATAATTTCGGAAATATGATTTCCATGCAGTTATTACTGATTCTTTTCAATGGAAGAATCTTGATATACAGCTTGGGTTTTTGCTGCAAATGCTCCTTGCCATTTTTCAGAAACGCCTCTGCGCACAGATTGCTAAGAGTCACTCTCGGCTCGAACATCTCGTACAATTCCACGAACGAGTCCAATCTCTTCTTGATCAATTTGGGCAGGAAGTCGCTGAACTTATAAATATTTATCGGATGAAGACGCCTCTCGCAGGGATCGACGTTCTGCTCGCTCAATTTAAAGTAGCGCACGATGAAATCCGGATTCTTGCGGAAGATCTGCTTGATCAGCTTCCGACTTAGAACGATTCTTTTCTCTATGATAATGTTGTACATGAAAGACTCGCTGCAAGCTGGTAGCAACGGCAGCGCTTGTTTCAGCCCGTAAAACGAAGCCACCGCCTTGAAGAATTCTTCGGCCAGGGCAGGATTCTTGGACGCCAGTCGAGAGGCTAAAACATTGATGATTCGCCTTCTGGTGTTTAAAGAAACGTATGGAAAGAGGTAGTTGAAAAAGTACTGAACATTAGTTATATATTCGTTGGTTCCATTGAAAAAATTGTTCGCCTGTAACGCTTTATTCACGATTATTTCGTCTCTGGATTTGAGAGCCTCCGCTATAGCCGCATAGGTGCTCTGATCATTTGGATTCTTTTTGTTCAACATCATAGCCGCGTGTATTTGAACAAAAGATACGAGCGGCCTGGGAATCTTCTCGGATTCGATCACCTCTTCCAGGCTGTTCGACTCGGACAATCGTTCTTTTATTAGATCGCTTATCCATCTGTATTTCTCGCCGGGTGTGTCGCCAGGTAGCGCTTGGATAGCCTCCAAATGAGACGTTTGCACAGCCATGTTTGTCGGTATTGAGTCGATTTAGACGCTGAAAATTAAAAATTAACTTAACTGTAATGTTGGTATATAGATATGTATACAAGGTGTTGAAATGAATTTTAAAAGTCAAAATAAACGCAAAAATATCAATAGAATATTATTTATTAAGTTACAAGCAATTTAAGGTGGCCTTATTAGATGAAGCGAAATAGAATGAGATATTTATTTCCCTGATATTACTGACTTTTTCATTATCCGATTAAATTATTTTAACATAAGTAAGTTTCAACCGATATTTTTGTTTTAACTTTTATTTTTAACTTTTAAAATCTACAGATTCTAAAGATCTTTCAGTATTCTAAAGATCTTTCTCTATATTTTACGTTTATAGGAAATAAATAAATACTTCTGAATACTTCATTTTTTTTGTATTTAATAAATTGAACTTTTAATATAGCAATATATTAAATTATTAAAATCGTAATGAAGTAAATGAAGTACATAAAAAATGCTGATTATTGAATTAGATTTACATAACAATTATGTATTTTTTTATTTTCGAACAAGAAATAACAATATTCTGAAGACGTGTTGTGTTAAACTAATCAATAACTATGTTTATATATTCGTGTAATAATATGTTATTTAACCTTGGTCGTTATCAAAGTAAACGGACATTCGGGATTAATAGAAGATAAGAATAGACTTTGAATCTGTATTAAACCATGATTTTTCGTCATCCCTATTTTTTCCCCCCTTCTAAAGAAAAATGTTTCTAAACGTTCCTTTTTAATTTAATTTAAACTTTGTAGAAAATATTTATTAATGCAAATGTTTATAAAATTAAAAAATATATTAAAACAAAGAAATATAACTAAGAAAATTGAAGTAAAAAAACTTTTTTTCTTATATACGCGATAAAATATTCATTTTTATATTTTTATATATTTTCATATTTTTACTTGAGATATGTTTTTTTTTTTCTAAAGAAAAACAATAAAGAATCTTGCACAGACTAAAAATAAAACCGCCAATTATCGTATTAAACCATACTATGCAAAAAATTCCAATTAACATTCAGTTCTCAAAAAGAAGAAAAATAATTTTATCGCTCTTAATCAACAATTTCAAAGAAAGACAGTTTGTTATGCTTATCGCCTTCTTTGATTACCAATTCTGAGAAAAAGCTACTTGCGCTATTTGTGTTCTATTCCTTATATAAAATATCTCACAAAATTATTCTAATATTAAAACAATCCTGAAAATTATAAACATAATAATTTATTTTTTGATACATATTATTTTTCAGATAGCTGATAATTGAACAAGATGTCTGTATATCTTTAAATACCTCGGTGATGATGATCGTTGAAAGGCCAAAAAATGTCTATCATAAATCGGGTGGAATTTTATTCTTGCGATAAAATAGAATAATTGTTTTTATGTTCTATGAAACACTACGAATTTAAAATCAAAGATAATTCGATTATTCACGTGGAATTTTAATTATCCATATTTCCTTTCTCGCGTAGCGAGAAGCTTGTGACAAAACGCGAAATCTCGCTATGAAACGAAGCCAGGTCAGCGTTGACTCACCTCAAACGTCACTCGGGTGTTTATCCGACGAACATAGGTTAGGTTAGTTTCAATGAGATCGAGTGGATTCACATTGCACGGCAATTTATTAATTAAGGCTGATCTTTAATTATACACTTGTTTGAATTTATTCATTTGATGATTTGATAAAATTTTTACTATGATTCTCATTTTATTTTCAATAGAAAAACTTGCACAAATTCTACGATTACGATACTCGCGAGAATTACGCGGACTGAATGATTTTGCGCATGCGTGAATATATACAAGTAAATAGCATATGTGCGCCGTTCTCTGGCAATTATCCAAAGTTGCGCATTCCTTAGTTGATTTTATATAGTTGACAAATAAACAAGTTTATTTATAATGAATGGAAAATTGTTAAATAAAATTATAATTCTAAAAAATTTGCAATAAATATTTCTTGCAGTTTAAATATGTGAATATTTTTTAAAAATATGATCTAATTGATATAGCTTTTTATGAAAAATTATATCAAATATCAAATATCTAAGAAATAATATTAATATAATTTTTAATAATTTAATAATTTAATAATAATAAAAATAATATTTTTATTCTATCTTAAATATCCTTGTTTTTAAAGATATAGAAAAGTTTTATTTACATTTTTTGTCATTTAAATAAAGATATTAATTAAAATCAATCAAAGAATTGCAATTTTAATATTGATCTGAATTTATTAATATATTATCATATTTTTATTATTTTATTAATTATTATTACAAATATTACAATATTAAAAATTAAAATGTGCATTACAATTTATTTTTAATTCTCTTCCAATCAAATCTTTGCCCCGACTTACTATAGGATTCCATTTGAAGCGTTTTATCAATGCGCAAATAATTATATGCATCTGCTTTCTCGAGTGGTTTCCAAATTGTTCTAATTAAATCCGTGATTTTAGGTGTTGGATTCCTTAAAAAAAAAAAAAATAATAATAATAATATGAAAAAATAATAGAAAATAATAAATTATTCTTTCTATATATTAGATTGCGATATATAAAATAATTTAATTTAATTTTCTTTGACAAACGCCTTTATTTTTTATTCTGAAAAATATAATTAATTTTTTTTCAGTTTTCTTTTTCTTTTCTAGTTACTCCCTATATTTCTCATAATTTCACACGAGGTTGGTGCACAGTTGTTAGTCAGACTAGTACAAGCTTTAGTTATTTTTGTAATTTATATCAAGTTTCTTTGTATTTCCTGTTTTTAATCTTTTTTCGCAAGCTTTTTCCTGCTTTCATATGTTATTCTTTTTTTCTTCATTTTTTTTGAATTTTTCATATGAATAATGCTTTATCATTTATTTTTTATACGAACTTATACAATTTAGATAAATAATTTAAATTTTATATGTTCCAACGTTACGTATATATTTTCTTTAAAATTGATTATAAATTTTTTTTAAAGAAATAGATTCAACAATTAATCCTTTATTAACAATAAAAAAAAAAGAGAAAATAACTACGCTAAAAAGAAAAATTTACCCAGTTTTAGCAAAATCTGTCCACATTTGAGTAAAATATTCCATCATTATGTAGATATCACTTCCAACTTCAGGTAATTTTCTGTTTGCAAGTTTCTTCGATAAATGTGGGAAGAATAAATATTGCAATTCATCTGCATGCGTAGCACCTATAAATTTTCACAAAGAAAACGATATACTTTTCAATTTTTTAATTGTTTTTATAGATTTTTTAAAAACTTAAGATTAGAATTGATCATTTGATCACAACGCGATAGTTTTTTTTCCAATGACTTATTACAACTAACTTTCTCTAAGATAACTTTCAAAATTCATTTAGAATACAGCGAAGATAAAATTAACATAGATTTAGAAAGAAGATTTAATCATTTTAGCTTCGGTTAATTCTCGAGTTCCTAAATAAATTGTTTACATTTGATAGACTAAGTGATTTAACTATAAAAAGTTTGGAATACTAAAATATACAATAAATTTGAATAAGACATGATAATTATGTTGAACATGAAAATGAAAGAAGAAATATTTAAAGCAATTTTCACTCATATAGAGGTATTATTATTATACTTATTTATTAATATTATTTATATATATAACATATATATATATAATATATATATATATATATATATATAACATATCCTATGGACATGCTCAAAATAAAATTAAGAAAAAGGAAAAAAAACTTAAGGGATTAAACAAAATTATAAACTATAATTAATAAAAAAATTAAGAAATTCAAGATCAAAAATAAAGGAATATATCAGGAATAAAATTAAATACCTGGAAGAGTAACATTCATCATGATTCTTAATAAGGACATTTCCGAATCGTAGGTGAATTTATACATATAAGTAGGTTCTGTGGCTTTTTCCATTTGAATATCAATTACATCATGGATACCTCGAAGGAACATAACATCGCTCATATAATCTGCATATTTTTGCTTCGTTTCTTCACTGATCATTTCTTTCCCAAAATAATAATGTTTTATGTCGTTCGGAGTAATACCCTTCTTCTTCAAGTATAGCTGCAACTCCAAAGGAATTAGCATCTCGAAATTCTCATTCACGTTTCGCATAACATCATCATTTTTTATATCTTGAAATACTGAAAAAAAATTTATACTTTGATCTTTGCAATTTTTTTTAATTTTAATTAAAATTTGAAATTTTATCAAGATGAGAATTATAGAAATATTTTTTTTCGAAATCGAAAACTTATTATTCACGATATTGAAAATATTTAAAATTTAAATATCTTCTAGATTTTATATATACATTTTTTTTAGAGAGAACTTATATTTTCTTCCATGTTAAATAAAAAAAAAAAAAAGTAAACTTACGAAAGTTAACAATGCTGCTTCCCTCGTTCTCGTTATAACCAATCAGTAAAGGTACTTTGATACCTGTTTTCATCATTTCCGAGGGATGTTGAGGCATAAATGGATTCGGGGATTTGTTGTCGATACATGGTGCAAATGTTCCAAATGTTACATAAGGTTGCTGCAAACATATAGAAGTTGCATTATAATTTTCAAACAAAATGTATTATGAAAATTTAATTGATTTATCCAAAATTTCTGATCCATGTATCAATAAAAGCCTTTTCATTTTTATTGAACGAATATCAATTATTCTTTTAAAATATGATAAAAAATATGATTAACATGAGAAATGAAATGAAAAATTAATCGATAATAAAGAATATAAAAATCGCTGAAAAAATTATTCAAATATTAATTTAAGTTTCATTATAAATAAAAAATGTATTATAATTTTTTATTTATGTACATATAATACTTAATTACATAATTTCACTTTAATTAATTTCATTTGCAAGATAAATATCATATTACATATATTACAATACTAATTAATACTATATGTTATAATACTATTAATATTAATAGTTATTACTATTAATAATATAAAAAATAATATATATATATATATTGTATTTTATAATATACTTAATTAATAAAAAATATCATTATGAATTAAGAAATAGAAGTGATAAATAAAAAGAACTATTTCATCTTTTTAAATATTTCATTTTTTATTTATATTATAATCATAGAGATTCCTAAATATTTAAATTCTCTATAATTATATAAACATTCTACTCACAGTTTAACTGATAAATAAAAAAGTAATAAAATACGAAAAGCAGACATAATAAAAATGATAATATAATGCTAATGTAATGCCCAATTAAATAATCGACAGAAAAATTAGCTTCGTATAAAAATGTTTCCTTGAAAACCAACTTCAAAAAAAAAATTCGTTTAAAGTTGAATTACGTTTTTATAGAGATTGATACTTTTTAATCAAACTTCTCGCAGCCGAGAAGAGGAATCGTGCAGCACTGTTTCGAAGATTAGGGGCCACTGGAAGAAATCGAAACTGTATCGCTATTCCAATCGGAACATTTTCTTTTTTCATAGATATCCGCCGTATTGATTCTGTTCCACTGCTTTTTTTTCCAAGATAATTTTTTCTCTCTCCGATTCTCTGCATTTTACTACCATATCGATATCGTATCACTCCTGGATCACTTGATATCGACTGCTGGCAACGCGAACCTAGTGTCTTTTTCATTTCTTCGAAAGCAGCTTATAGAGAACTGTTTTCGACGATTCAAGTTTCGTTTTCATCGAAAAGGAAATTGCATTATGATATCGCGTTAGAAATCTTATGAATAATATTCATATTGTTTTTTTTATTAAATATTTGAAAAATCTTGTTAGATTTGATTAAGAATTTTATTTCTGCTCACATGAATTTTTACACAAATATGTAATGTACAAAAAAATATATATTACGATTACAATTTTGAATAGAAGAGAATAGATCTCAAATATTTTTTTTAATTTTTAAGATATGTTATTAAATATTTGATTTAAAAGTTTTAAAGAATAAGAAGATATAAGAACATATTGTTTTCACTCTGTAATTATTTTTATGTTAAAAGATAATTATATTTCTTTTTTTTATAAAAACTTTTTGATTAATTTCAAAGTTAAACTTCGTATCATTACGATAAATTTTATCTATATATATATTTCATTTTATTATGAATTACGAACTGCGTGTAATTAATACGAAATAAATTGTTTTATAACTAAGATATTTACAATTTTTTTTAATTAGAATTCTTAATGAAGTTTTTTAAAATATTGACGTTATGATACGTATCTTTTTAATAAAATTAATTGAACGTTTGATATTTCAATATTTGAAACAATTGATAAATGCAATAAATTTCACGATGCACCTATTTAACAATATGAATAACACAAGATCTCTTATAATAAAACCTCGTAATCTTTAATCGTTGCATAAATCTCGTTGCATTTCAACGCACAAAAAAAGAATGTAAATGAAAATATGTATGTTAAAAAATCTATCATTACCATATCATTAACACATAATATCTTTAGACGTATATACTGTTTTTTTATTTAAAAATTTTTTATTCAACATTTCAAAAATATGGAAATTGTATTTTCTTCTTTTTTTTGTTATGAAAAATAAATTATATCTGATTGATTAAAAAGGAAATAAATAAAAGCATATTTTTTTATATACTTTGCTTTAATTTTTACTTTCAATATTTCAATATTGATAAGAATATAAATAGAAACAATTTTTAATTTATGCTTGATACAAGGTAACACAGAGATAAGAAAAATATTTTGTTCATCGATTATTCTACTTATAGACCAATACATTCTATTTTTATAAATTTATTATAATTTAATATTAAAATCTTAGAATCAACTAATCGAATCTATATTCCTTTCAGTGGATTTATTGCGAGGTATGTAAAATATATTAATCCTAATAATAAAAGTATTAACGGCATGTTTTATTTCTTGTTTCTTTTTTTTTTTTTTTTTTCGATGGATAGTCGTTAATCAAAGTTGAAGTTAAATATAGAGTTAAATATATATATGTTAAAAATCATAAGTTCGTTAAGTAGAGAAATATTTATTCAAATTTATGAAGAAAAAAACTTTGTTTAAAAAATTATTAGACTTTTTTTAGATTCCTTTAAACAATCACTTTAAATTTCTAATATATAAAAATATATAAAAATTAACATTTACACAAACAAAAATTTCTTCAAAATTACAAGAAATAATTTATCTTCAAATTTTTTAATATATCTCTTTCTTTTGATAGAAATCATTTATTCATAAAAATTTTCACTTTTCAAAAAGTAAGAATTTCGTTCGATAAGAAGAAGAAAAGAAAAAGAAATTTTCGAATGCACACGGTTCTTTCGTTATTATTCATCCTCGAGAATTTCGTACTTTTGTTCAAGGGACTTACCTTTGACTTTAAAAGCTGTGTCTCGGTAAATGCAAGTTTCTGCGCATCCACGGTCCTCAAGAACTCGAGCACGGTTTTAGGATCAGTCGATTCCTCGCCAAGTTTTGCCGCCAAATCGTACGCATATTTGCTCGGTTCTTTCGTTATTATAGCCCAAGGATTAATCGCCACTCCGCTCTGCACGATCGCCTTATGGAATAAGCCTGTGAAAGTCAAACAAAGAGTTTCACAAATTTTCGATTTTTTATGGATTTTTAATTGCAAATTCAACGAAGATACGAAAATATATATACAGAATTTTTCTATATGAAAAAACAAATAAGAGAACAAATTTTCATTCGTTCGAAGATTAGTTTTTTTTTTTAAATCAAATATGAACAGATTTCGTGTGAATTTCAGCGTTGAAATATATTTCCGCCTTTCGTTTCATTTTGACACGTGTCAAATTGATTCAGATTTCAGATTTTGTTTTTGCAATTATTAAACATGCATTTGTAAAAATAATATTAACACAATATTTAAATTTAAAACAAAAACATGATTAGTTTCATAATTAGTATTACAACTTTAAATATCTGCGTATAAAGTATTATAAAAATTTTGATGTGCTTCGAATAGAAGAGGATACGCTGTATACTGAATCGTAAAATTTTTCAAGTGATGCGTTAATAATGTTTGAATAGAAATGTTGAAATGAGCTTTCAAGTTGAGATGCATGTGAATAAATATTTGAAAACGTACCTTGAGCTAGAGGAGATATAGTCAAATAGTGAACCGAGCCACCACCGGCACTTTCACCGAATATGGTGACATTGTTGGGATCTCCGCCGAAACTCGAGATATTTTCCTGTATCCATTTCAAGGCCATTACTTGATCCTTCAAACCTTGATTACCTGGAGCAATTTCATGCTCCAAATTCAAGAAACCTAGAAACAAGGAACGAGGAATACAAATAAAAATTCTTTCGATAATTTTCAAAATTTTTAAAATTTCAATTTTATTTGACTAAAATGAATATAGATATATTTATAATGATTTTACAAGAAAAATTTTGACAATTAAATATTAAATGTTAAAAAAATTTTACGTCAATTACTTCATTTTCAAAGATATTCTTCGACATTTAATATTATATCATTCTTATCATTTCTTTTTTCATTTGTGCATATATAAAATGATAATAATATTGATAAAATGTAAAAACACTGGATAATGAATATACAAAACGAAATATACAAAAATGATTAAATATTAATAAGTTATATAAGTCTATTTCTCCCTCGTTTTTCAACAAACAAAAATTCTTTAAAATTGTTTATAATCTAATAACAAGCTTCAGCCAAAATATCAATTTTTGTATTTATTTTGGCTTGCTTAAAATCAAGCTTTTAAAGCTAATCTCATGAATACATCAATACTTTGTAAGTGTACAATACAATTATATATTAAGAGACAAAAATAATCTTATTATTTTCCATCCATTTTTATTTACCTAAAACACCGAGTCTATAATTAATCTTCACCAGAACAATATCCTTTCGCATCAGATAATCGGGACCATAAATATCATCGTTGCCAGATCCTACCATAAAAGCTCCACCATGGATCCATACTATTACAACACGTTTTGTCTTTGATTCGGCAACTGGCCTGTATACGTTCAGATAGAGACAATCGTCACTTCCTTTCAATTGACGAAACAACGTGTCATTTTGGGCGCAAACGTCTCCGTGTTTCGAGGCATCTCTTATTCCTGACCATGGCTCTAACGGTTCTGGATCCTGAAAGCAAAAAAGAAAATATGTTAACAAAAAGAAGAAATGGTAACAATGAATTTTTAGAGAGAAATAATAAATACACTTGTTGAAAAAGATTTTTTTCAATTGCAATTTCTAGAATTAGCCGCAAGACAAATTTGTCAGAAATCAGCAGTGATGTTAAGAATAATTTTGTGAAATTATCTTTACTTTAGAAGTTTATACAAGGCAAATTTGATTACGTGTAATCATTCATTTTCATTTTTACTTTCAAATTATTTTACGTATTTTAGATTTATATAAATCACTTTATGTAGATTATTAAAATATAAATATGTATTAATTTTAATTAATTTTTTGATAAATTATTTTTTTTTAATAAATTGAGCTATTTGCACAATAATTTATCAACTAAAATTTCATTCTTCACATAAAAAGATAAATTACTTTAGAAATTAAATTATCTCGCAAAAAAGAATTTCATAACTAAAAAATAATGATCAAAATATCAAATTGTCTTGGAAATATAATTTTACAATTATGAATTATAATTCATAAACAATGATAAATCTAATACGGAAAATATTTCTTGGTACAAATATTTTAGAGCATGATAAGTGATAAAATTCAACAATGATCCCAATCTTAGAAAATTCTTTCTCTAATGACAAACGTGACAGTATTGTAGAGTTTCATAGTACAATACTGGTATATAATAATTCTATTGTATTGCACTGCACATAAGACGTTTATATTTGATATGTGATATGCACTTCATCTTGCTTTTCATTTTAAAATAGCAGATATCCTTGCCTTCTTTAAAGTTATATGTCAATTGCAATAATAATATCACGATTATTTTAATTATATGTTTTGAAAATATTTCTCATTTTTCTATAATTTTTATTTGCAAATTGGATTGATTTTTTAAATATTAAAAATTTATTAAAAATTGTAATAACTTTCAAAGATTAAATTGTACAAATATATCATATAATATATCATATAATTATATAATTATTTAATAATTATTAAGAGCTATTTTAGAATATGATAATTGATACAAATTATTTATACGAAATTTGATCAAAATATATTACATAGGTTAATATTATATTAAGTTTATCAGTTTACATATATGAGAAATATGATAATTTGAAAAGATATGCTTGAAGAGATATTTGTAGTATATAAAGATATTATTATATAATGATTAAAACGAATTATTTACATATCTTTTGTTTTTTATTCATAATTTGACATTATTCATTTCTCTTCAGTTCTGAAATATATAAATATACATATATATAAATCATAATAAATAAAAAATAAAACTGATATAAATATAAACAAATAAAAATTATATTTTATAAAAATAAGTAATCTAAAAATAATTAATCTTCCAATCTAATTAGAATTTATGCATTTATTATAATTATAAATTGTTTTTAAAAAATCGTTCGATATATAATGATTTTTCATATCTTTTTCATTTTATATTATACATGTAGATAATTTCGACTCACTTTTAATAATCATATTGATATAAACTACAATGATAAAAATAGATGATAAACTGATGATATAAATCTTCATCTTTTTCGTACATTTTATTGAACAAATTCAAAAAAGTATATTTCATATATCGAAAAACAAAATTAAAATTATTATAATGGATTATTATAATGGATTTGATTAATTTAATTAATTATTATTAATAATTCTTTCGTTATGTTAATATAATTGCAATTTTTTGTAATACAGCAATTGATAAAATAATAATATTCCATATGTTGTTTGTATTTCTTTAGTTTTATTTATATTTAAACTTTAATATTATCGGCAAGAATATTATTCAATAATTAGATCAATTATCTTTATGTAAGTTTTACAGATTAAAATTATCTCATAAAATAGCATTACTTACGATAAATTTTTACGATAAATTTTGCATTATCATATCTCGAATACATATAATACGTACAAAAATAAAAATAATATATTATAATTATATAAAAACAACATATGAAAAATTGATTCTAAAGATAAAAAAAAAAAAAATATCAAAATTGATATAAAAATATCGATCAAAACTTATTTATTAATTTACGAACAATTTAAGTAAAAGAACGATCTTTTTTCATTTTCTTTCGTGTAACGCATACTTCAATTGTTTGTTATAATAAGCTTTAGCTAAGCTTTCGTATTTATTTTAATCTTAAGTATCATCTTTGAAAGATGTTTCACGAATCTATTAATACTTTATATATAACAATGTAAATGTTCATTCATGATAAGTGATTATCATTTTCGAAGGAATTTACCTTAAATCGAAGTGGGCCAATCGGTGGTTTCGCATATGGTATACCACGAAATGCCAAATACCGATCACCATAATCTGTTTCCTCGACAACGCCACATAATTCACCTTGCTTCACGCGTACAACTGTATTTTCACTCGCCATTTTACAAACGAATCTACTTACGACGAACGTCAATCCGAACTGAGTCGTAGCTAGATGCTAGACTTGTATTAAATAAAAAGATGTCTCGAAGCTTGGTTAACTTAGTGGAGGGGATAAAACGGTAGAAAGAAATACACATATTTCTTTCGAATGATATAGATAATCTTTGAAATGAATAGTCACTGCGGAATATTAATTAAAAAAAGGATTTAATTTTGGAATATATATAATTTTTTTTTAATTGATAAAATTTTTAAAAATAATAATAATGTTTGCATTATATATAAATGTGAAAGACCATTCAATTCTAAATAATTATATAACGAAATATATAAATTTGATATATAGAAAGTTTCGATCAAAAATAAGCATATTTAACTTTAGTAATTGGTACTGTAATCATTTTGATTAAATTTTTCAACGAAAAATTTAAGAAAATTATTAATAAATTTAAAGAATATGTATGATTTATGATAGATATCATTTTGAATTTATAGATACAAATATTAAAGAGATTTTATTGTAATTTTATTTACAATAATATAAATTAAAATAATTTAAATTAAAATGTTAGAAAATATTAAAATGTAATAATATATGCATAGATATAATATCAATGTATATTGCATTACGTATTAAATAATTAATTGCATAGAATTTTTCAGTAATTACTTTATTTCCATGATTCAGCGCATAATTAAATTGTTTAAAAAATAAGTCTGAATTTTTATATATTAACTTTTCTATTTGTTTTTATATTTACAATCGATTCTTCAAAAATATCCCACATTTTTGTAAACTATTATTTAATTTACAATACTTGCATAAATAATATTTAATAAATTTCAATTATCTATAATTATTTCGTATAATAATTTTTAAATTATTCAAAGATAGAATAACAATAAATTAAGTCGTAAGTTGTAAATTATATGTTAAAAAATAAATTTAAAAGAAGTAGATAGAATTTGACATTGAAAATTCCATATATAATTCCGTATATAATTCACATACATATTATTCATGCATAAATTCATGCGAATAATAAAATTTAGAATAAATAAATATTTAAATATTCAAAAACTCAAAAATTATAAATATATATATATATTTTTTTAACTAAAATCTGAATATCATTTATCTATTTTATAATTTTTATTAATTTATTAATTTTATTTATATTTTTATTATATTTTATGTAATATATTTATTATATTATATTATATATTTATATTATATAAAAATATATAATTATATTATATATTTTTTATATTTTTATTAATTTTATTTATATAAAATCAATAAAAAAAATTAATTAATAATTTTTAAATTTAAATTATAATTTTTAAATTTTAAGTATTTTACACATTTATCATGACACATTATAAACACATTATAAACACATATTAATGACATAAATAATTTATCTATTTTGTTATCACAAAAGATAAAAATTGATAAGAAATCTTCAAAAAAATTTTTGAAATTTTAAAAATTATTACAAATTCCAATTAAAAATAAGTGTATATATATAAATAATCTGAATAATTGAAGAAGAAAGGAAATATTTATCAAAAGAATATGCATTATTTTAAAATTAAGTCAATTAAATTAATTAATACACTTATTATAAATACAAACATTGAGATTTGTTAATTAAATATAAAAATAAAGTGAAATAAGTTATTTTATATTAAGATAACATTTTATTTGTCTTGATTACATATTTATTTTTATTATTTTTAAATAATAATAATAATATAATAATAAATAATAAAATAATAATAATATAACAGCTCTAATATTACAAATTGTTGATCTAAAGAAAATTTTTATATTTTCGTCGAATATATTAATCTGGAATTATTAAATGGAAATCAATATCAATTCAAAATTTTAGTAGATAATTACTCTAAATAATTATTTTTATCTTCTGTTTTTAAATCAAAATATTTATTTCTGTAAAGAAATTGTGCAAATATTTGATTTTTGAAGTTTATAAAATGAAACTGAAAGTTCAAACTAAAAAGATCCATTTTTGTTAGAAAATGAGAAGAAATATTTTTGGAATCTTACAGACAAAAATAAATAAATAAATATTTAAAATAAATATTTGATCCTTGAAATCTCAATATTAAATTTAATAACATTCTAAATCAATTTGATAAATATTTGAAGTGTGTGAAATTTTCAAAGAGAATTTTTAAAAGAAAAGTTTTTAAAGAGAAAAATTTTAAGAAATTATAAATATAATTTATAATTATAAATAATAATTATAAATTTTATAAAGTATAAACTATTATATTAATTAAATTATAAAACTAAACATAAATGAGTATATGATTTCTGCATAATTATAAATAATTATTATAAATATATTTAAGTATAAATATCCTAATTATAATTACATAATTGATACGATGATGCACTTGATGATGAAAATTTATCTCTGATATTAATGTCTATATGATTTCAATATCTCATCAGTTTATCTCATTATTATTTTTTACTATGACTTAATGAGAATTTCAAAATAACATAAAAATACAAAGTATAGAAAATAGTATGATATGCAATGTGTAATATATTACAAATATCATTACACACATATTCATTTGAATACAATATTACTTCTGATGATCGTAAAATACATTACCATTACAAAACGATAATTTGTGAATTTTATGAGAGAATAAATTATCATTTCAAAATGATAGATAAATAATCAAACATGTACAATTAAAAGAAGGAATAAATATAAGAATTTTTAAAAATTATTCATATCTAATCGTTTAAACGGAAATAAAATATTTATAGGAAATATTTAAAAATGTTTAAAAATTGTTTGTATCTTCTTTTTTGCTTTTTTTCACCCACTTTTTTGTGCTCTTACAGTTTATTCCATGGTTTATCGAGAGGTATTTTTTCTTTCATCGCTTCGTGTTAAAATATTGAATTTAAGCGGATTCGAGCACTCATTTCTGATTCACGATCGACCATGGATGAATTTGAAAACAACACATGATGCACGAAACGTCAGTTTATAAAATGCATCGTGTTTTTAAAAAAAAATCATCATATTCTTTTCACGTCAATTATCTTATTCCGTTCTAATGGACTCGTTTCGTTTCGTGTTAAAATCCACCTATGATATTTACCGATCCATTACGATATTTACAATTCTATTCTTACCCTTTTATCTTGTCAAAATCATGTACAGATCTTTTATTTGAACAAAAAGTTATTTTTTTTCTTTATCAAAAATTTATTATTATTATTATTATTATTACTTGATAGTGAAGACTTATATTTGTATTATTTATATTATTTATTTGCATACTAAACTTATATATATTATTTATTACTTATCACTTATTTACATATTTTATATGCTCTATAATATGCAAAACGTAGAAAAAAAACGTAGAAGACAGGAATATATATTACTTGACAAAACATAAAAATATCAAACATAAATAATATTTAAAAAGCATTATATGCAATTTAAAAGTAAAACTATTTAAATAGTTTCTAAAAACTTTCTAAATAGTTTTTTTTTTTTTTTAATTACTTAAATAAAGATTTTTTATCTGTAATACATTAATAATATATATTGTAGTATACGTTTATCGTTATTGCAACATTGTATCATCGTTCGTTCTTTGAAATTCCAATAAACGATTGATTTATGACGTTATTATCATAATTATCTTTGGATGAAAGTTTTAGAAGATTTTTAAAACAACCAATCAGATGTCTTAACACTTCTTCGACTCTCGATAATCCCAAACGTGTTATAAACCAGAAAGGGTGATTCTGAGGCAATTTGTTCTCTTGATCGCATCCCTTAGAAGACGACTTGCAGTTTCATTCTGGGCGTTACCCTATCCCTTCCATTACGAGCATTCGACACCGCAGAAGGATCAATGTATTTCTTGTTTGATTTTTCAAAAAAAAAAAAAAAAAACCAAGATCATCAGGAATACAGCAACGAGACGAGCAACGCGGACAGAACAGATTCAACCATTGCGAAAGCAAGATCAATCGGCACTATCAGCATCGTAAACAGACACGGTTCAACATCAACGGTTCTCATCATACGAGTCACAATCATCTCAACGAGACTCAGCATCATTAAATTGAAATCGAATCATTGAGAGCGCCACGATAACGTGTAATCGGAATAATCGCCCTCGACACAATTGTTCATTTCCATGAGTTATGTTTTATCATAGAAGCATACTAATTTAAATCCTATGGACTTTTATCTGAAGCATATTTAAAAAACAACTCTTAGGAGAGTGTAATAAAATGAACAAATTAAGCGTACATTGCTTCACCGATAAAAAATAACTCGTGACTTAAAAATTGTATTTATTAAAAATTTTTTCCTTCCAATTTTTTTTCGTGCATCGTGTATATTATACGATATACAACAAACTTCTGTATCATAAATTATGATACATCTCTTTCTACATTACAGAAAAATCCATTATCTATTTCTACACTATCGCTCCAAGAATAATTTCACTATACCAACACTATTTGTGCTGCAACCACAATTGAAAACAATGGGAAACTTTATCACGATATGCATCAAGATTCAGTTTAATCAATTCTCAACCACCAACTTAAAAGAGTACTACCAACTATTTATAAATCACTTCCCGATATAAATTACACTTTCTCTCCGGTATTGTCTTTTAAATAACAGGCTCCAAGCAATCTCCAAGGGTGTCCATACATAATCTGGCGCGATAACAATACCTCACTCGCGATAAAACTTCGTTCCTAGTGGTTTTCTGCTCTTTAAGCAAGCAAAGGCGATAAAACTAGCCCGTATTCTTTTGGGAGAGACGAAGAATCTCTTGTGGAACACGAAGCCCACAGGACTTGGTTGAATCACGAGTGAAATGATTACCATAATGGAAACTATTTTCGCGAAGATTTATGTCCGTTCATTTGTATGCAAAACGATGCAGAAATGATTACGAAATGATAACAACCGGTAAAGATGGAGGTAAAGATTTAAAATCTTAGAAAATATTTCAAGTATCATCTCTTCTCAAATTATATTCTCTTCATGACAAAAGTTTGGCCAAAAATTATGTAAATTGGATGTCCAAGTGTTTTTAAATCTTAGAATTTTAGAAAAAATTTAGTGCCCCACTTCTTCTCTCGGATTATTTTCTCCTCATGGAAAATCGCAAAATATGCGAATCCTGGACGCTTGGAAATTTTAAGTCGTCAAATTCCAGGAAAAAATTTCGCGTGCCATTTCCTTTCAGATTAATATGCTCCCGATCATAAATTTCGATCCAAACTTATGATTTTGTAACGAGAGAAGAGGTGGCATCAATAATTTTTCCTTAATTTTCGAAAATTGAGATATACATTTATAATATGTATAAAATTTGCAGTATCATCGTTGAATTATTTATTATTATTTATTATCGTTCCAAAAGAATAAAGAATTATTTTCAATTTCATTATTTATCTTTAACTCTATAACTTATTTTTAAGCGTAATCTAATCGATCGCATTAATATTTATTTGAAACAAGTTATGATGAACAGGAAAAGAATAGAGAAAAGAGATAAAATAAGGAAATAAGAAAGGAATAGTTGATAAAGGAGAGAAAGAATGATAAAGAGAGAATGAAAAAAGATTGAAAGGATTAAAGCGTAGAAGATTAGCGTGGCAAAGAAGGAGGATGACAAAGAGAGGAAATAAAAAAGAGATGACGATCGCAAACACTAACGGTATAATACTAGTTTATTCCTCTTCTATCACGATTTCCTTTTACGTGAAACAAATAAAAAAAAAGCGTAGCTTTAAATGGCTAAGACCCGTGCGGCAAAGGAACAGGATTACGAGAGCATAACATGATTTTCAAACTTACTGCCTTCGTACTCAGGTGCGTAATTGCGATCAGTTTTATTTAAACTTCAATCTCCGATTAGATAGATCATTGTGAAAAAATTTTATCAATTTTGTTTTAGCAAAAAGATTATGAAGATAAAGTTAAATAAAAAATTAGAAAGAATTATTATTTTATGAGATCATGAAAAAAATATAGGAAAAAAAAATTTAATGAAAATTATCTTAAAAATATTTTAATACTGAAATAATTTACATATATATATATATATATAGATAGATAATATAAAGCTTTTATATTGTGCATATATTTAAAAATGACAAACATGCATAATACTCTGATCATGTCATTATGACTTATATTACTCGTTGAACTTTGTACATTTATTATCATTTTCATGTCACATACTATATAGAGAATATGGAATGAATATTGAAAAATTTTATTTCTAAATTAAAAAATGAAAATGAAGGAAAAAAATGATTCATAAAATTAGAATATAATTATACTTGTGCAAAGATAAAAAAAATTTAAATAAAAACAAAGAAAAGATTGTGATATAATGTCGCAATATGAAAACGAACACTTTATCATTTTTTACTATAAACGATAAAAATCTAACAAAATGTAAATTATGTTACATGTTAGGGGAATATACGATTGAAATAAATAGCTGGCATGTAATAGAAATTCGATAGGAATTCGTGAAAGTCCATTTTCACAGATTCTGGTTCAATTTCGATGCATTGAAGGAATGTAAATTGAAATAAAAGGCCATCACATGGGATTGCACTTGACATATCGAAGTTTCGATGAAAATTTTTTCGATTTAAAAATATTTCAGAGATTCAAAGAGAAATTAAATTAAGAAAACAAACAAATGAATTATACTACTCTCTCTCAAATTAATAAGAAATTACGATGTTAATTATAACATTAGAATAAATTATAGTACTATTACTATTGCAATACTAATCTATTGTTAATACGCAATCTCGATTAACTCAATGATCTATATTTATCCATACGTTTCTTCGAAAAAGATATTCCATAACTCCCATAAAAATTTTATTCAAATCTATACGTTATATAACAAGCTCAATCGATTCTTTGATCCTCGATAAAACTTCACAATAACTTTCCAAACTTTTTCATCGTACGAATTAAGATCCATTTTTCTATTATTAATCATCACGATCAAGAAACCGACAATCAAATCCTTTTCGATGATTCCTATTTATAAACTTCTTGATTAATCGCGAAAGTTGACCGGAAATTTGCTCTTTTCTTCCTTTTCCTATTTCTACGCCTTAAGTCCCCCTCGAAATTCATTAGAAGCCAATTAAACATTTCACGTTGAGACTAGGAAATTTAATTTATCCCCTCTGAGTCTAGGTATTTAACCCGATAATCGCCATTTTCGTTCCATTACTTCCGCTTTTATAGCTTCTCTTTTCCAACAATGGAGAAGCTTGCTTCGAAAATTTATTCACAAATTTATGACGATCGTTCGAAAATTCAAAACGATACGTCGAAGAAAAAAATTTACAATGGAAATGATTCCATTTCAATTTTGGTTAATAAATGTCGTTAATTTACAGTTAATCGATGGAATTAATTGAATAATTCAATAATTTCGATAATTTTATGGTTATTTTTCTTTCTCAATCAAACAAGAGCCAGCATTAGAATTCATTTTACGACTTGTTCTTCTCTTACTTCTCAATTCTATTATCGTCTTTTGTTGTTGCAACAATCGTATCAGAGTCACAGTAAAAATGTGTTCAAATTGTTGGCGGAATATTACTTTTTTACGACGTAACAATAAGAATTGAGACAGAGAAAAGAAGAATCCTTATAAGAGGATCGTTCTTGAAATCGAAGAATTGATCTGGAATTGTTTGTCATGAATTTAAACACTATATTTATTTGTTTTTTTCATTGTTCCTTTTACTTTATCATCTCTTTGAGTTGATTTTGATCGAATTTTAAATTTTAAAGGTATATTAGAAAAAATATTTATATAAATTAAAAATATAAATTCTTTTAAAAAAAAGGTTAAATTAAATTAAATATATAATATTATAAAAAATATAAAATAATTAGAAATTAATATACATAGTGTATATAATTAGAATTTTAATAAGAAATTATTATTAAGTTAACCTGAATATGCAGTTTTTAATTAATCATTTTAAATTAAAAGTTACAAGCAAAGAGAATTTCTTCTGTAAACTATAAATATCTTCATTTTAAAGAGATAGAGACTTCATAGAGAAAATTAAATTCATGAAAAAGATCAATCCAATATATGGAAATTTTCTCATCAATATGAAAAATTCATTTTTGATTTTGAACAATGTATCAATTATTTTTATAATATGTTTATTTTTACATTATGCATTAAATTTCAATACGTAATATTTATAATGACGTAATATTTAAAATAAATATTATTTTTCTATCCATTATTTTTGTATTCGGTTATGATATCATGCATATGAAATATGCATCATCATTTTGATAATATAATATATCATTGATTTGAATTGTTATTCGATATCAATAGTGATTTATTTTTTTCTATATATGCATTGAAATTTAAAGAAATTATGCTGTTTTTATCATTTTCGATTATATTTTATTCTATTATTTTTTTCACGAATTCCTCTATTATTAATAAAAGTTAAAAATGAATCTGGAAATATATCTGTGAAAAGGATTCGTAACGAGGACAATCCAATTTGTGCCACTCGATTTGATCACAATTAAGTTTTCTTTTGTCCTTTTATTGTTGGTTTGAAATCTTTTGTTCTTCCACGCAAGTATTGCAAAACGAAAGAAAAAAACTTCATTGATAGATGGTGTTTGAAATTGAACATTCCGTTTCGTATCTTTTATGTTCGAAAAAAAAAGAACGAGTGTCGAAAAGTGGAGACTTCAAACCGCATTTTGATTGATAACACACTTGAAATCGATTGGAAATTGTGTACATTCAATACAATCAGTTTTATGAAATTTCTATGTTCTTTTTCATCCTCATGCTCTTCTTTTTTTCTTTTCTTTTCTTTTTTTTTTTTTGATTGAACTATTTGTATTCATTTGAAAAAATTTAGTGAAATGAATACAAGTTTGTGATTTCAATTTTTCTTAAAAAAAAAATTTATTACGAAAAATTTTCCAATATAAAATATAAATTTCTTTTCTATTGAATTTTTATCGATATCTTTATTGAAAATGAAATATATTTCGTTTTTAAATATATTTGTTTTTATTTATAAGATCATCTTCTTACTTATTTATTGCTTATCTCTTATCATTTTCTCTTGTCACATTTGACATTATCGATCTAGCTGAATGCAATTCTTATGTTTATCGCAATAAATCACAGAGGGACAACAAACGCTTTGATTTTTTTTTTAATTCAAATTCGGTATTTCAAATTCGTGTAATAGAAAATTCTATGAAATATATCTATTCTTATATTTAAAAAAAAAATAGCAAATGAAGAAATGTTATATAATAGAATATGTTATATAATATAATTTAATTTTATTAAAAGATAATATTAATAAAAATATTTTTATTTAAAATTGTTTAAAGCATACAAAAATATTTTTGTTTCAGTGAAAGCACATAAATATTGTGAATTAAACGGCACTTGGTTTCGACATCCAGAATCTGGTCAAGTCTGGAGTAATTATACGACTTGTGTCAATTTAAAAGACCTCAGTGTAAGTAAATTAACAAAAATATTTATGTTAAAGTTTTTTAATTAATTATATAATATTATTTGAAAATCACTATAAATATATAAAAAAAAATTATAAAAATTTAATAAAATAAAAAATTAGCGAATATTACTGAAAATTCTCAAAATAGGAAATAAAATAAATAATAAGACAGAATAAAAAAAGAAACTATAAATAAAAAACGAAACTAATACAATATTTAAGAAAAAATTTTAAAAATAGATAAAAATTAGAGTATTAAAAAAAAAAAAGTAAAAAATTTAAATAAAACTTAAATAAGAAAATCGATGAAGAAGAAATTCTCGATGAAAATTAATAATTAATGAATAATCAGAGTAAAAAATTTCTAAAAAAATTTCTAAAGAAATATATTGAATATTGAAATGTTAATAAAGAAATAGTAATAAATGCCATCAAGTTGCAATCCTGAATAAAATCTCCTCTCGAGCGAAATTCTTTGAACGACAGCCCCAAGGATTATACTCATGATGAGCGATGTGATTTGAATGAGAGAATAAGATCGAGGATCAAAAGGGATGAAAGGTTGAAGAAAAACGTGCCAGCTTGACGGATGAAGTATACATATATAATGATGTGTAATAAAGGAAAAACGAATGATAAAATGAAATCGATATACAGAGACAAAATAGAAGTTTATTTGTTGGATGAACATGATAAGTATGTAAAAATGTGAAGATGGAAATACAAAATCGTGGAGATTCTTCTCTTGTCTTCATTTTTCTACTTAGAAGAAAATTACTTGAAAGAAAAATCAAAACAAAAAATTCTTTTATAAACTCGTTTTATCCAGGAACTTTGTTCTTGATAAAAAAAAAAAAAAATCTGATGTTAAAATGACGGAAATATAATGGAAAAGTTCCAAGATGATGAAATCTGAAGATGAAATACTTGACGAGTTATTTATTTAATTAATCGAGGGATTATTTTTTTTTTAAATATTATTTGTCCATAAATGACAATTGAGATCAATGCCGAAAACATAATTGTCGAGAAACATCAATATTCTTTTAAATAAGACATAAAGATATAATTAAATGTTTTATGAATTATATTGTATACAATCTTTTCACCTTATCGATAATTACATATTATTTTTAATACTTTTAAAATTTATCGAACATTCAATATATTCAATATTCGAAGGTAATTTAACAATAAAGTTCAGTAGAATATTTTATCGAACGATCCACTTTTTCTTAAAATAGTCACAGAAAGTTAATTTTATTAATATTTATACTTTTCATTCTTACAAAAACTTCTTGCATTCAATATAATCATTTATCTTTTTATTATCCATCCTCGAAAAATAAAACGTTCTCAAAGAATGATCTCTAATTTAGTCGAATAAATCTAAAATCTTCATCGTTCGAGATCAATAATCTAGAATTAATAGATAGGGATTTAAAAAATTTATTCTCTTTTCTTTCTTCATTTTCATTTTTTCCCTCGAAGTATTATTTTCGGGAAAAATTTTAATATTCGATTATGAAAAATTATGAAATTTATGATGAAAAATGGCAATATATCAAATGTTGTAAATACGAATAAAAGAAGAAATATAGTTCTATTTGCAATATCGTTTTAACAAAAATTTCCTAAATATTGGTCTCGTTTTTATCTGAGTTTTATTACAGGACAAATTTACATTCTAGTGTTTTACATATTTATAAACAATTGTCTGTACGTTATGATATGTATGATAGATTATATATATACATGTTTATGAATGAATTTTTTCTTTTTACTTTCATTTTAAATGTAAGATTAATTTTATTTTATATAAAATTTCACTTTTATCCTACTCAATTTTTAAAATTTACTTTCTTTAAAGAAAACAAGAAAATAAAATAAGAAAATAGGAAAATAAGGAATAGCAACAGCAGTTTTTTAAAAAGCAAGATTAAAAAGTTAGGACATTAGAATATTTAAAGACAAATGTGAAATAAAGAATTTGACAAAATTCAAATACTTGAAATATTTAGTTAAGAATTGTCATCTTTCTAAATAAAAAAGCGTCAACATGAAATCAAATATGCAATTATATTTTTAATTCAATAGATTAAATTATTTTTAAATCTCTTTTCGAAATTTCAGAGTACAAAAATATGTATAAAGTTAAAGATAAAAATAAAAAAAAAGAGTAGATTTTTTTGACACTGATAATTTTAATATTATAAAATCACTCTAATCATTAATTCCTGTAATATTATAATAGGATAATCTTTGCATGGATCATATCTTTTGCCGAAGGCACGATCGTGATAGCAAAGAATTCAAAAGATATAATGAGAAAGATATCGTTTCACTGTGCTGAAACTATGCAAAAGATAAGACAAACCGAGATACGAATAACTGGGAATTTTCTACCTCGATGAATTTCTCGTTTCACATCGAAAATTTCTTTAATGTTGAATAAAAAAAAAAAAAAGAACGAAATGACTGTCAAAAGGAATAAAACGAATCATTCCTATAAGCGAGTATCCACGAGAATCGTTTTATTAGAATAGTTTATACTCGAGCTTACCTTCTTTCGTTTTCTTCTAGAAATCCTTTGGGATTCAGGAGTTCATCGAATTTCCCGATGGTGCCATTACTTTCTATTGTTGCAAGCGTATGAAAACGATTTTAAGAGACTCTTGAAGAGTTTTGGTTAAAGTTTTCGTTATTCTTTATAGAAGTGAATAAATATATTGAAGTATTTTTGAAAAATAATCAATCTTAGCCTGTTTTTATCTAAAAAATAATATATTTTAGAATTAATTTAATATAATTAAGAATTTCATTAAAATGAATGCTTCTATCATTATGAATGGAATATCAAATATTAATAGAAATTTAATAGAAATTTATATATATATTTTATAAGGAATTTTAAAGTTCGCGGGCAAGTCACCGGATATCGAATAAACAGCTGTCGTGCTTAATGGCGGGACCAATTCAATTTTCACGGGACAAAGGGCCAATAAATGCAATTAGACGCTGTAGAAGTTTATGAAGTTCACTTAACTACTATGTAACTTCCTATTCGCCCAAAGTCTTCTAATATTCCATTAATTAAACTTTTATATTTCTTTATTCTCTAATTAATTGAATTTTGTAACAAATTGTATCAATAACGAATAATATAATATATATAATATATTTTTTAATTATATACTTATTTTTTCTTAATTTTCATTGTAGAAATATTATATCTTTAATGTAAAAATTGATCTTTTTTGAAAAATGAAATTTCACGATAGTAAATTTTATTTATATACTAAATATATTGATCTTGTGTTAGGAAATAGACATTTTATCCCTCGAGGAATTGTATTTTATTTTTGCCTATATTTTTTTGCCTATATTTGGAGACATATCATTATTTATATTTCTACATTGACTGTTTTATGCATTTTTTCTCTTTTCTGTTTCTGTTGCTCTATTTTGTATATCAGTTTTCTTATATGTATTTGTTTCATGACATTACTATAATTCTCTTAATGCTTGCTTTATACAACAAGAAGAAAACAAAATGTTTGGGAGTTTCATCATCTCGATAATGTACGAATTTCTTAATCTTTTATATAATAAATAATATGATCAATAGTATAAAAAATATTTTATACCCTTTATATATATAATATCTATGATATATTCATTTCCTTTTCAGTGGCAACAAGGAATTAATGGACTTTATGAGGCTGGATATGCAATATCATTGATAGCATTATTACTTTCATTAGGTATTCTAACATATTTCCGGTGAGTTAATAATGAATACGAATTTATCTTCTCCTCACATTATTATATTTCATTTCCTTTCTTTTTTTTCTTCCAACTTTTTATATTTTTTTTCTTTTTTTTTTTATTAAAATAAATTCGTTATATTAAAATCAATTATTCCTTCGTATCGAGAGATTTTAAAATATGTCATGCAAATTTACGAATATCATTGTTTATATCCGTAAACAAACAGAAAATTTTGCTTTTTTAAATATATATATTATAAATTTGTCGATATTGATATGAAATTCAATATGAAATATAAATCAAAATGCATGAAATTATTATTATTATGAATGAAATGTTAAATATTAATATCGTTGTTTTCTTTAATTTATATCGTTAATATTATATCGTTGTTTCGATTTTAATTTACTCTTTATAGAATTTTTATTAATTTCTTGGAATTATAAATATTCGAATTATTGCGATACAATTAAATGAAAAAAAAAATTAATAAAATATTTAAATTAAAAAAAAAATAATATAAAATAAAGTTTAATATTGAAGAAAAAGAAAGATTAAAATTTGTAAAGATTAAATTTTGTCTTTTTAAAAGAATTCATATTGCTTTTTTTAGAAAAATATTTCTAAAAAATATTTCCAACGATAAAAGATCTTATACGTAATGAAGAGTTTTTAGAACAGAAAAGAAATTTTATATGAAAGGATATATTTTCTGATTTTTTATTACTCTTTCCATGAATTTCTTCGAAATAGCTCCCTGAGGTGTGCAAGGATCACTCTTCATATGAACCTGTTCGCCTCTTTTGCTGTAAATAATGCTCTATGGCTGGTATGGTATAGATGCATCGTAGCGAATACGGATTTACTGTTGAACAATGGGGTATGTATGAAGATCTTAACTCTTTGCTTAACACTCGACCCAGTAACTCGAACGAGAATTTAGTCACACCATATATCGTTCGAATAATAATGCCTTTGTAAATTCTGAAATTAAGTAGGAAACAAACATTATCTTATACATTTTTATTATTTTTATATTTTTTTTAACATATAAATTTGCTTATTTTTAATAATGAAATATATCAATGATAAAAACAAACTTTTTTTTAAGTTTTATTTTTTTATCTAATCTATCTTTAAGTTTTTCTTTTTGTTTTTTCATTTTTTATATATATATATTAATTGTATAAATTAAATTTTATTATATATAATATTATTATTAAAATTGATCTATTTTAAAGGGTAAAAAATATTATCATAAATAAATAGAAATTAAAAAAATTAAGAAAATTAAGAAAATGATATAACTTTCAGATGACATGTCGGCTGTTGCATATTATTCTTCATTACTTTCTTCTTACTAATTATGCATGGATGTTGTGCGAAGGTTTTTATCTACACACTCTGCTTGTCAGTGCGTTCACAAGCGAACAAAAATTAGTAAAATGGTTGATGATTCTTGGTTGGCCCGTACCTGCAATCATCGTCACGATTTATGCCTGTTTAAGAGCGACTAGCAATGATCTTACGGACACTGAACAGTAAGTACAATATTGATAATTTGAAATTTTAAGAGAAAAAAAACTGGAATTTTCTAGAATTTTATATATTAAAACATTATTACACTAGAATCATATATATTTATTTATAACATTATATAATTTAAAAATTATTTATATTAATTCGTTAATGGTGATTTCAGATGTTGGATCAATGAGGGTAATTACATGAACGTACTGGTTTATCCAGTATGCGTTTCCACCTTATTGAATGTACTTTTTCTCTTCAATATCGTTCGAGTTCTATTAATGAAGTTGAGAGCTGGTCCTAGCATTGGTACACAACCTTCGAGATCTATGCGTCAAGCATTTCGGTAATTAATATTTATTAATTCATATTTAAATGTTTTTTAATTTTGTTTTAGTTTAATTAAAAAAAAATAACAATTTTTCATTTCATTAGGGCAACATTACTTCTTGTACCTCTTTTGGGTTTACATTATCTTGTCATACCCTTCAGGCCACCGAAAAATCATCCTTGGGAGCATTTCTATGAGGTTCTTTCCGCTATAACAGCTTCTTTTCAGGTAAAATGACTTCACATATTTTTCAATAGAAACTATATTTAACTATTTTCTTATATTTCACAATCAACTCTCAATTTTCTTGGATACTATATCAAATTGAATGTTAAAGTTAATTAACCTTTTATAAATATTTGAAATAAATAATTATTACATTAAATATTATTTATATATTTTTAAATTTTTGATTGATGTTTTTTCTATAGGGTCTCTGTGTGGCCGTTTTATTTTGTTTCTGTAACGGTGAGGTAAGTAAACGATTATTTCTAATTACGTGAAATAAAGAAAATGTTCATTAATAAACGTTACTTTTGTTTAGGTGATAGCGCAATTTAAGAGAAAATGGGAGGGCTCAGCCTTCTTGCGGAATCGAGCCAATTCTTGTACAGCCACCACCGTCTCGGTACGGCAAATTCACAAGACATAGAACAATCATAAATTTTGTGAAAATGAAAACGCTTTAGAATGAATACCATCATCCATGTTTCTATCCTTTTTTTTCTACATCTGTATCGTTTTCTTTCATTTTTGTGTAATCTTCATTCGTAATTGTTCACGCTATAAAAATTGCTAAAATTGTTCATTTTCCTTTTCTTCTCTTTTTTAACGCTAAAATTAAATATGAGAATTAAATTAAATTGATTCAGATCTTGAAAAACCATGAATTGAAATTGTTTAGAATTTTTACATTGTGAATATATTCTAAAATATATTAAAAAAGTGAAGAATAGAAAAAATTTTAAATTTTAAAAAAACAAAAAAAAATATATATATAATAAATTTTTTAATTATTCAAATTTTATTTTTTCTCGTTCTTAGAATTAGAGATATTATGAATAATATCTATGTAAAATATGCTTATAGTTATTGGAAAGATAATAAGATAATATTGTTAAGATTTGTACAGATTTTATTAGAATCTTGTTAAAAAATTATTAAATTTATTAATGTTTTAAATCATAGAGAATTCTTCGACGATTTTTTTAAGATTTCAAAAAAATATAATAATAAATAAAGTAGTACTTACGTTTTCATTTTAATTTAAAAATAAAATTTAAAAATTTTTTAATTTTTAGAATCCATTGTATCTTGAGAAAAATTTCTATAAAAAATTCTCGAAGGAATCTCTAGCGAATCTTTCAAGACACTGGAACTTTGCAATCTATGAAAAAATGATGATAAATCGCTTAATAAATCATAAAAATTGCTTTGTATATAGCCAATGGTTTAAATGTTTTGAAAATATGATCATAAGTATCTATCATTATTCGTTCTTATTCAAGAAAAATCTATATAATATATAAGACATAAATGATGACATAATTTTATATTTTGATTGATCATGAATAACAATATAATTATGATTGAAATGATCATAAACTTATAGATATACTTTCATTATGTTTGAGATACTTAATTTCATATTCAAATTTTATATTCTATGAATAATTAACACTTTCATTATTTATTATTTTAACTAACCATCACAGAGATCGACGAAACATTATTTTTATTAATCGTATTTATTTGAAAATAAATCCTAAATTATTTGCAATTGTAACACAATGCACGCCTTTTTAAAAAAATTCTACGCTTTCTAATAAAACTTGTTAACATGATTTTATTCTTTTATCTTTTCAAATAATTTTAAGATTAATTTTTTATTATTATTTTTTGAATATTATTTGATTGAATATATTATATAATTCTAATCATGATTTTTTTTATCATAAATTATAGAATACTTAATCAAAAAACTAATTAAATTAACTAATTTGCAAAGGGATAAATTTTTATTACAAAAAATTATCTTACCTATATTTCTTTTTTCAATTCCTTTTAACATAATCCAAATAGATCACTATTTATATTTTATTAAGAATCATGATCATGCAACAAAATAGTGCAACAATATGAAAAAAAAAAATTTTTTTAAATATAAAAAAAAGAAAAAAATTGCACGATTGGTCAATGGTACGATACGAACCACGATCGAATCCTCAATGCACGACAAGAATTCGTTTATACTATCTGATATGATTAATGCTACGCGATTACACTTTTATATACTATATAATATGATTTTATATTAATTTCATTGAAGATAAACAAAAATGTTTGTGCGAATCATGTCGGATAATATACAAATGGATTCTAAATTATTAACACAAAAATCTCCTGCTATACATAGGCCTGAAAATAACACGAGCGACATCTATATAACTAATATACATGATGGCGTAGAGTGTAGAGAGGGAAAGAGTTGTCCGTATCGTGCTAGTGACGACGTGTCTATGTCAAGTCCATTGTGGGACATTGACTGTTTCAGTTTATCCGATCGACCGCAGGTCCGATGTCGGGAGAGGAAACGGTGTGACTATCAATTGTCCACGCAGGAAATTCTGGACGAAAAACGAGCCGTGGACAATAATCAACTAACTATGCAACTATTCCTGTCGCTTCTATTCCTGTTTTCAAAAGTGACGATAATTACGCCAGAATGCTTATTAAGTTGATCGATGTATCCGATAATGAACAGATACAGTGTTGACAATATTGATTGTTGACGAAGAAGAATTTAAGACTATTTATACCAGGAAAGCAAAATCATTGAGCGAAGATCAAAGACGGTTTCAAGAGATCAAAAAATATAATTCTGCAGAGATGTTTTACGAAGATGTTATCTATGATTTGTTGAAAATTAAAAAATGTTTTCACGAAGAATAAGATTTTAATGAAGAAGAGACTGTTTTGATGATGAACATTGTTTGATTTTGAAAATGAAAATATTGAGAATTAATATAAAAGGTGATTAATATAAAAGAAAGGAAGTTTTAATTATAAAAATGTCAAATAATATTTTGGAAAATAATAACAATACTATTTTTTCGATTTCAAAGTTAATTTAGAAAGAAAATAGAAAACTAGACAAAAAAATGATAAAATTAATCAAATATTAATAGCATTTCTTAAAAACAAATTTTTCAGAACAACAATAAACGAGACCAAATAATAAAAAAAAAATAGAGATAGAATAAAAATTTGAAAATTAACGCCATTTCTAGAGTCATATATGAAAATAATATATAGACAAAGAAAAATTAATGAGAAAAAGATAGAAATAGATTAAGAATTTACTTTCAACGCCATCTTTTGGATTGTTTTGGAAATATAATATTTTTATCACCTGAAAGATGGCAATAATAGTCAATTTTTATTTTATCACTATATTTGTTTCATCTGCGACACTAGAGATGGCTCTGATTCCCTAAATTTTAGGTTATCTTCCTATACAGTATATAAAATTTAAGTGACGTTTAGCATATAAAAAACTATTATTTTTTTTCATATTCTATTAAAATTTTAAATAAATTCAAAATTAAATTGTACAATATTGTATAATTTACAGTTAATTTAATGCGTCTTAAATATTTTAATTTTAGATCTAAAAACAATTTTAAATTTAATAGAAATAAAGCAAGTTTTTTTTGAAATGTTACAATTTTGATTTTAACAATTAAATATTGTAAATATATAATATAATATTGATTTATCAAGTCGTATCAAATTTCATGATGTAATTTATATGTATATAAAATAAAGTTTTCGTAAAAAATATTCACCATGAATATTTGCTATTTATATAATTAATATAATTGAAAATATACAAATAAATGTAATTAAAAAATTAAAAATTTAAATTTATAATAAAAATATTTTTATTCCCTTTATGCAAAATTTAAGAAATTTTCAAAACAGTTTAAAAACATATTAGAAAAAAATTTTAAAGATTTAAAAAAATTAATAAATATCTTATTTTTATTATTTTTAGTAATAATATCTATATAATCTATATAATCTATATATAATATATAAATATTAATAATATATATTAATAATATATATGAAAAATATTAGTCTTAAATAATATATTTCGTATTGCTTTTTTTTATATAATATTTTTTTTTCCAATATAAATCACAAATATTTTATTACAAAAACACAATATTTAAAAATAAAACTATAACATCATATATATAAATACATAATTCATTACTATTTATACAAATTAAAAATTTAAATAAAAAAGTACCCTGATATTTAACAATATCATTATCATATATATATATATATATATGTATATATATATATATGATTTAGTTAAGTCTAATCTATTAAGTCTAATCTATTATAAGATTAATTTTGCTATTCCAGGTAATGAAAGTCCGATAATGACTGTAGAAAAAAGATTTACACTATGGTTGTCCAAAATTTGTCTACCACTAATATGTTTCACACCTTTTCCAGGATGTTCTACTATAAATCCTTTTTCATTTATTCCTGAGGAAAAAAAATAAATTTTATTATAAAATATATATAAATAATAATAATAATAATAATAATAATTAGTAGTATAATTAGTAGTTGACTATTATTCACCAGAATATTGTAATGTAGCTCCTAAAACAGAATCTATTACACTACCAATAAAACCTCCAATTCCTCCAATAATAATAACAGGCCACTGTGATGTTGCTAATTGTAGCACAACTGTATCAACAGTTATCAATACTGTTAAATAATAAGATAAACCTACTATTATACCACCAAGAAAAGACATAAACAGACCTGCCCAGGAAATACCACCATTTGTACCTATACATAAATATAGACAATTATAAAATAATTTGATAATTATAAATTTTTGAAAGATAAAATAATATAATTTATATTTATAAAATAGTATAATACAATAACATTTAGAAACTACTATTTTACACTTAATTACTTAACATTCACCATTCATCTGCTATATATTCTTTTTTTTTATAAACTTTCTAATCAGATTTTAATATTTTTACCTCTTGGAACTCTTTTAAGAGTAGTAATAAGAAAAGGATCTTTACTAGCAATAACTGATCCAATTTCTGAAGCCCAAGTGTCTCCATTGGAACATGCTATGGCTCCTAATAAATTATAATATTTAAAAATTATAAATTATTTTAAAGATTCTTTATTCTTCAATATATATGTATACCTAAAATTCCTATTGACAACCAAGAACTTCTATAATATTTGTCAAAATCAATTGGTCGTTCCTGACATCCTACATCTAATAAATATAAAAGTGCTAATTGTGTTGCCATGCCACCATTACATAATACATGAACCCAACTTCTTTGTGAACTTTCTTCAAAATGTGCTTCAAGCTTCTTTTTTTCATGAGAGCGAAACTTTGTTGCTTTAGAAGAGGTAACAAAAAATGAAAAGAGACAAGCTACATGAGCAAAACTAGTAAGTGTCAGAATGAAGCCCACAAATAATCCTGAAATATAATATTTCATAACTATATAAAATATGTGAAAATTTATTAAATAACATTTATAAAATATAATTATAAATTTTTTTTAAATAATATAATGATATTGAAATTTTTTTAAATTTTATATATTCTATTTAATAATGATAAATAATATTTTCAGAAAAGTGAATAATTAAATGATAACCTAATAATTTAGACACAATATATTATTGAGAATATATATATTTCTTTTGCATTCTAATATTCAAGAAATATTTACTTACCTGAAATAGCACCACTAATGTTCAAGCTCTTTTTTTTCCAACCCCAAAATGCCATGAAAATTGGAAACAAGACTGCAATTAACCATCTCCATGGTGAAATAACCAGATATTCTAAAGAAAGGGTTATGTTTTTCAAAACAAAGTATTATACAAAGATAAAAAATAAAAAAATCTTAAATCATGGTCAATTTTATAAAATACCTTCTAAATGATTTTTAGTATCCGAATAAAAAACTGAATAAATTACATTTATCAGCCAAAATAACATAGAAATTGGAATTGCACAAACACTAAGAAGAACCGGTATTAATACATGTGATTTTTGATTCTCCTTATTTGTTAATGAAACCATAGTTAAAATTATAACATAAACCAATTTATTATTTATTTAATTATTTCCTGTTAAATAATATGATAATTACATTAAACATAATGTTCGTGACAAATCGTATATATATTTATAACTGATAAAAAATTCTTTGAAAGGAATGCAGGTTTGATTGGTTGATTTCAATAAGAAACATTAAGAAGGTTAGAAATATGCGTATTGGCAGAAAATATATTTATATATAATATGTATAAAAAAAATCATATAGCATCGCTAAACAAAGGAAGGGATTATTTCTTGTATTGTTCTATAAAACTTTTCGTTACCACATTACAATTTCTTTTTCATTGCGTAAAAACTCGTACTCATGGAATGTCGACTTATATATAAATTTACAGGTAAAGTCTAATCATTGAAAAAGTGAAGGAAAAGTGATAACAAAATTAAAAATGAAAGAATAATTCTATATTATATTGTTTAAAAATTATCTTAATAACATAATGTAAATAGAACATTTCTCCCATTTTCATTTCTAATAAGTCTAATAAATTTCATCATCACTATTATTTTTTTTTGATTCCTCCAATCAAATTATATATGGCTAGTTTATACAGGATGAAGCATATGTCTTTGGATAGATAAAAAATTACAAATGTTATAAAACTTATTTTAATTTATTTTTATTGTGAAAAATATTGTAATTTCGCAGAAAAAATAAACATTGTATAATTAAAATGATGTAAATTTAATGAAATCGCTGAAAATTACATTGAGATATATACAAAATGAGCTTAATTTAATTGATAATGATAAATGAAATTGAATACGAATAATCGGATGCTGTCATAATCGTGTATACATACTATGTACATGTATGCAACGTAAATGTACTTAGAATTTAAGACATTAATGTAACGAAATCTTATTACTTGTACTTCTTCTGTTTGGAAAGACGTACTAAAGAGTAATAAAATCTTCATGTTACAATTTCGTTGCGATACATATAATTGGAATTAACTATACTAACCATGACGTAAAAACATTTCAATGATTCAGAAAATTCGTTCATGACGGTGATACATTGAAGCACATATAATTGAATAATGAACGGCTTAATAACTGGATCCTATAATATGTATATCCCTATACAAATATTTCTATCGTTTTTACGTATCAATAAACTGTAAATATTAACATGTAACAGTTTTAAACTGTGTTTGTCAGTTGCAAAGTTACAAATTATTTTTTTTTTTTTGCAATTTTTTTTTACATTTTTATATCACGCTTATGATATTTTATTTCTATGCATAACAAATATGACTGCGAGTTTTGAAAATACTCGAAAGTAAACCGCAGAACATTTTGAACATATGATTACATTATATTATAAAGAATATATCGTGAAATCTATAGAAAAGACTATCAGTCTTTTCATAACCTGCTTACATAGCAGTATATATTTAAAATGACATGAACATTTTTAAGAAATATTTAGCGGGATTAAAGAAACAGTTTATCTACCGTAATAATCGAAAGCAAATATTCCATAGGAAGAAATTAATATTATAAAAAAAATTGTAGAAAATGTTTTCCATATCATATATGTATATGGATAAATACTTTTGTAATTTTTATTAATATTTGTTCAACATAATATAGATTATACGATAAGACTTTAATATTAAAAATATAGAAAATATCGATAATTAAGTTTTTAATTTGAGATAATAATCCCAATTACTTAAAGATATCACCGCCTTTCGTGATTCTTTCAATATCAAATACAAATAAAAAAAAGAAAAAAAATAACATAGAATCTATATAACGATCCGATATGATTTTAGAAAAAATAAGTCTTTCATAGCTTAATATTTATTAAAAATGATGCTAGGATAAACAAATTTGACCTGTAATAAGTAATACAAGTCACAGAAGCGAATTTCCCGATTCGTCCAGTTTAATTACAATGCAAATCACATTTCTTTATCAATGTTTGAGAAGTATAAAATATATAAATTTTTATTATCTTTATATTTTGTCATATTTATCACTGTATAGAATTAATATTTAATCATTATTTTTTCCTCTTTTATTATATAATCATTATAAGGTGTATTATATAAATATTTTATAAACGGAGTAATGTTACACTATTTACAAAAGTATGATCAAAATCTGCTTAGAAATTGAGAACTAAATAATGTGAAACATAATACATAGTTGCATTTTTTCTATTAACAGCCTCAGAGTTTTATTTTTTTGTGTTCTTGCGTTTATTCGAAATTCGAATTTAAAGTTAACTATTTAGGTTTAGGTTTCTATAATTGATTATTGAAGCCGTCACAGTATCATCTGTAAGACTTGTCTCACGTATATTGCATTGCAATGTAAGAGAGAAAAAAATCAAAGAAAAAGAAAAAATAATAACTGAAGTTTTAGTTATAAAAGTATCATGGACCATACCATGTGACTTTCGCAGTTCATGAAAAATTTAAACTCTTTTTTAACATACAGCTTACAAAAAATGTATATTATACTATCACATTGTAAAATAGCTGTTTTTACGTTACAAATTATTTGAATATCGTATTAAATCTTCATTATTCAATTTTTGCCGCTAGAATGTGGCGTTTCATACGTATATCGTATATTTGATGTTTAATAAATCTATCGCGCATTTCGATAGTATATATATATATATATACATACATAATATATATATATATATAAGTACATAAAGAAAAATATTTTCTTTCGCTTAATTATATTCTATTGTCTGTTAACTTCATCTAAACTTTCTTCATTTATTAGTATAAGAAACAATATTAAAAAATTTTTAACATGCACGTAAAAATGCCACATTCTAAATATAATAGTTCACATTTGTACTTGTCACAAATCATACACGAGGAGTATTTATAAATGCTCGTGAAATATAATTCATTATATATGTCCATTGATACTTAATGTATTGAAAATGTATGCTATTATGTCATAACTCAATCTAAATGTAATAAATATGAAACTGAGCATATCAAATAGAATATGAAAAACTACTCTAGTAATAAAAACTTTCAAATTAATATTGGAAAGAATTTTTTGTTGGAATTTTTCCTTAAACTGTGAAAATATTATGAAATATTAAACTCCGAGTATGAGAATCAATTCGAATTATATATGTAATTAGTGACTAAAAAATTTATATCATCACGTATTATCACCGCACGATTTTTTTACAATACATTTATTAAGAACTATTCTAATGCATACCTTAAGAAATTGATACTTCTTCTGGAACTATATTTTCTAATGGTATGGATTCCGCGAAACCACGAGCTACTAATTCATCAGCAAGAGATATCACCTAATAAATTCAACAAATAAAATTAGATAGGTAGATAAAAATGATTAAAGCATATGTCAGTTAAAGTCAGATAAATTTATATATCTATAATCAACAAAAATTTTTCATTAGAATTGAGATTTACTTACTCCGTGTTTATGAATATTAAGATAAAGATTAACGTATGTGTTTGTATTGATGTAACCTACTATTTGAGCTTGACCGACAATCCCACAACATACGTGAGCAACTACATTATAAGCTTCTTGATTCCATTCACCTAATATATACGATATAATATATACGATACAATTTTTTGCAACAATTATTGATTTATATAAAAAAATACAGAAAAAATATAACTCTATACTTACCGTCCTTTGGTTGAACATTAGCTAAAAATATTTCAATTGCTTGAAATGGTAACGAGAGGTAATCTGACCTAATTTTTCTCATTTCGGTATTACTAAAAACCCAATAACCTCCGTGATCAACTAATCGTACTAAATGCTGTTCTCCATGAGGATCTGGTTGTTCAATATATACTCTAACCCATCTGTTATACCATTTTGCAACTAAGATCATACCTTCTGTAAATTAAAATAAATAAAGTTATTTATTAAATAATTAAACAATTAATAATTTTTTATATTAGTATTCTTATTTACAAAAATTCGGTAATATTAATTATAATGTAATAGAAAAAACGGATTATAATTATATATTATAAACGTACTACTAAGTTCATCTGGAGCTGGCGGCGATTCTGTTGTCTCATATAATTGTGTCATATTTTCGTCTAAAATTCTCAAAGATGGGTATGTAGGATGAGTAGGAAGTTGAACAAAGAATTGATTAGGTTTCACTATATGACATATAACAACATCATTGTTCATTCCCTCTACTAATGATAATTGCATTAACTCAGTGACCCAAGGGATCTCTTCTGGAATTTTTAATGGTAAAATCTGTTCAAGAGTCACATGAGGATATTTTTTCTCAGGAAATTTTTGTCGTATCATATCTAGGGCGATGTTAATTCCTTCCGCGGAACCCTCTATGGCACAAATTTTTTGATCTCTCCATACAGGATGACGTTTAACAACTATATGTACTTCAGCTTTGTGTCGAATATTTTGCAAAAAACTTCCATGACGACCAATTAATCTTCCAACTAAATTTTGTGGGATAGAAAACTCATATGTTACTGCAATTACATTATCTTTTGTATGACCTTTGATACTTCCTCCTGCAATAAAATATGATGTTATATTAATGATAGAATATTTTGAATTTAAATTTAATAATCAATTACCTTTTCCACTGTCTGTGCTTCCTTCACTTCTCGCTTCATCCGTGACACTACCTTCTAAAACACCAGAAACTGGACTATGATTAGCAGAATCCCTTTCAGATAATGCTTGTGTTGGAGTTTTAGAATTATCTTTTGATGGGGTAGAAACAGATGGTTCTTTACTTGGAAGATAATTGCATTCATTATTTATATCATTTTCTTCGTTTGTATCTATTCGTTTGTACTGACATTCTATTGATTTATTCTCAGAAGATAATTTTTGCTCTTCCTCTTCAATAACATTTTCAAATATTTTTAACATTTTATTTCCAGAATCATCAGTATTTTCTAAAGAGGATGTACTTATACTTTTTGCAACCATATCAAAATTGCTTATTTTCGGATTACAACCTAGTTCTATTTCCATTTTTGACGAGGAATCTACAAAACTATACCATTCCTGATCGTCTTTAGGAGGAGTTCTAGAATGTACAGAAATACTCTGTGAACCACTTTTTCTTTGTGGAATATCTAAACTTTCGCTTCTTTTTCTAGGACTACAAATGATTTCTTCTACTGGTTGATTGGAAGAGCTTTGTGAGAAAGATTCGTCAGTTTGTATACCAGAATCATAAAAACTTAAGTTAGAATTTGATAAAGTAATTTCTTTTTTGTGATTGGCAATATTTTTCTCGTTGTGATCTGGTTTATTAATTCCACCTGGATCAACTCTGTCTGCTCGACGTCGTTTGTACCATAATAGACCAATTATAAGGGCAAAAGCTGGAAAAGTCCACTTTACCATTTGGATATGAGTAGCAGACATTTTTCCAATCCACTGTAACTGTTGTTATAAAAGAACTTTTTATTCTGAAATAAAAAAAAGAAAAATACAATTATTTTGAATACAAATTGATAGATTTTATTTTAATGTTAGTTGTTAATTATATCTTAGTGTGTTCTATATTAAAATAATCATCATCTTACAATGACCGCGCAAAATCAATGAAATTTAATTCTTATTTAGCCTCTCGTCTTACTCGGTTTCCTTTGTTAATTACTGTTTCGTAAGCGTAACTTCCGGTCCCGACTATATTCATTCGAATAGCTTAATTAACAGTAAAGTCTATATACAAATAAATTTTCTGTTTTTTAAATGTGAAAGCGTAAATTTAAAAAAACATCTGAATCATTCATTATAACATTATAACATATGAAAAAAATTAAATGAATTAAAATCCACTTTTATATATATTCTTAAGATAATAGAAAGATTAAAACTAAATCTTAAGTCAACAGTTATACAATATGATATCAATTAAAATTCAAATAAATCATGTTAATAGTACATTTATTAGATTAATATATTAAACACAAAAATGATAATACGATAAATATATATTTATTAATTAATGATTTCTTGAAAATAAAAAGATTTCTATTCAATAAAGAATAAAATATTATTTTTTAATTTAAATTATCCTTATAATATCCTTTAATTTTTAAAGATAAAATGAAAATACAAATTTTCTTTAATACGGACGAAAATTATTTTTAAATAGTAAAAGTAATTATGTGATTTTGAATTATGTGAATTAAATGTACATTATAAATTACATTTATATGAATTTAAAAAATAAAAATATGAGAACAATTTATTTGTTTAATATTTATCAATCAAAATTTTTCGTATGCTCTGATAAATTTCATTTAACTAGAAATCATATAATTTAACATGTACAAAATATGTGGTGGTATCATGAGATTGAATGAAAAACTAATTTTAAATATATATTATTAATTAATTCTAATTTTTGATATAATAATATTCATATATACCTTAATATAAATACAAATCATACAATCGTTTTTTGAAATATATAATATAAATTTAAAATATATAAAACATTTAATATTTTATTATAGAAACATCAAAGAAAAATATTTTTATTATCTTTATATTTTTTTTTCAAGAATCATCTTCGATTAAACTGTATCGCATATTATGAGATGTACTTTACAGTACATTCACCCTCGCGTGATGCAGACTTGTAATTCCCATCTGTGATACCTGAAGTTTAAAGAAAGCATCCAAGCCGGTTCCATAATTTCATAAAATATTATTAAATCCAATAAAAAAAAAAAAATTAGATATAATGAATTAAAAAATTTTCAAGTATTATAAAATCAGGAATATATTAAATAAGTATAAATAATATACATATGATTATGATCAATTTCTCCTTCTCTTGAAATTTTTTTATCAAATAATTTTTTTATCAAATAATTGGAAAATCAAAATTTTCATTGTTTCTTTTAATTTTTATAAAATGATATCATTAAAAATATCATTAAAACGAAATAAGAAAAATTATATTTTTAAATACAATCAATAAGATAAATTTTTTCTGATTTCAACGATAGTTGAAATATGAATATTCAATATATTTTTGTGAAACATCAAACATGAAAAAAATAGTTCTCTAACGATGAAGGTTAGATTTACTGTCATACAAGACTCACCCATAAAACGTCCATGCTTATTTCCATCTGTAATCGTTCTACGTGTTCACAAAGCCGTTTATTCGTTTGAAAAATATACAACAAGAACGGTTTTTAATCAACTGAAAATCGAGAATTCGAAAAGAGCTATCGAAATAATTAATAGACGAACTGATAACACTCTCGTTGACACGACTAACGTGATACTGCGGTTAGTGGAACGATCGCGGTTTTCAACACGTGGTAACTTCAGAGAGACGAGTTAACTGAAACCGCTCGCAATTGCGCAGGCGCGATTACATTAAGAGGCGTTCACATAGTGATAATAATGATAATATTTATAAATTTTCTATTTTTCTTTTTTTATTTTTCGTAATCTTAAATTGAGCAGAATATTTGTTAGAAGAAATGAAATCTTGATTTTAATATTTAAGTTGGCATAAAAATTTCAACATGTATCGAATATAGAATAGCCAAATTTAATTTTAGAAAATGGTTTGTGAGTAAAAGACACGGAAGTGGTTTCTATTACCAAGGTAACATTATTTCGAAAAATAACATGATTAATTTATATTATACATTTATAAAATGTATTTCGGAATGTTATTCGCTATTTATCAAATAATGCATTAAAGTATATTATCAGTTATCTAAATAAATAATCTTTTATTTAATATTGCCAATAATATATCTTATAAAATAATATATTATATATAATATATAATAACAATCGCGATAAATAATTATGATTTCTAGAATCGTATTACATAAAAAAAAAAACACATTTTGTAATTTTGTTTGCAATTTTAAACTTTTCAAATAATATAATTCAGAAAGTTAGCTTACCCTATATATCGCGAAATCTGTGTTGAAAAGTAAAAGGTTTAAAATTGACGATCAAAGGAAGGGATTACGCAACATTGCATAAAATTATAGGTTTTCATCATACGGGTGTACCATAGAATACAATTTTGAATGAATATATGTAGTCTCATACATATAAACCTTCATGCTATTAGTAAAAAAAAAAAAATTATTTGCTAATCATAGAAAGTTTCTCGATTATATGATAAATAAAAAAAAATACATATATCCATTCCATTTAATAACAATGTTTGTAATTACATTTTCACTTTTTTAATTAAACTTTTTGTCTAAGAAAAATGTATAAAAAAATATAATTAAAAAAGAAAAAAATGAATATGAAAAATATGAACCATGATGAGAAATAGAAATGTAAAGAAAACATATTCCATATAACAAGTAATAAATCTATTATGTCATATGAACATTCCATCAACATTAATTCATATAATGATCGCATGCAAATGTATACTGAACGAATACGATCTTCATTCATGCGTTCCAGTGATATTATGTAAAAAATTATATATATTTAAGAATGTATTATATAATATGAAATATAAAATATTAAATTTTTAATCTATAATTATGAATAAGCTTTAAATCTGTATAATTTTTTAAAATTATTGATTTTTTGATAATAATTATTTAACTTAAATATTGTAATTAATAATAGCATATTAATGATATAATATCGCAATATAAATTATTCATTAGTAAATATAATAACAATATTGTGTGTGTGTGTGTGTGTGTGTGTGTGTGTGTGTGTAATCATAGTATAATAATTAATTACATAACGAAATATGACAAATATGACAAGTATGACAATGATTAGACTAATAATATTATCATACTATATTTATGTATGTATGATAATAGTACAATGTTATTATATTTTCAATATTACATATATCATAATAATATAGTGACAATATAATTTTTAATTATATTACAAATTACAATTTATAATTTAATTTTTATGGATAAACGAACAAATAAAATGATTTGCTAATTATCATCAAGTATTTTCATTAGAAGGATAAATTCAATAACTACTTAATCTTTTTCAATATAGAACATATTAAAGAAAGGAGATCAGTCAAAATAAAGCACAATTTAAACTTTCTTAGCTATGCTATCTAAAAGAGAAAAGGGATACATACTGAGCAATGGAAAAAAACAAGTTAAATTAAAATGAAACCGGTTGTTCAATAGAGATTGGTAATCGCTCGAACTAGGTTATGCGTGGATTTAATTTTTTATAGAACAAAAATTTTCAATTAAAAGATCTACATACCAGAAAATATGCATTGATCATTTTGGTGATTCACTAAATGCACTGCTATACAAACTAATTATGCACAAGCAAATATTATTCTTCTTTTTTTTTTTTTAAACTTTTGTTAAATCACTGAACACAAAACATGTATGATAAATTAAATTAAATATGTTAATGTTTTTTAAACATTAAGTGATCCAATTATTGATTTTGAAAACAGATATTATTTCAAATATACCCAGATATAAGAAAAATCTAGGTTCCCTTGCCACTTTCCCATGATGATAACTAAACTGTATTCCCATCACGTTTAGAAAATACTTTCATCGCATTTTCAAATAACACATGCTACCGCGGTTATTGTATCGATGACTGAAGATGCGTATTATGACTTGTACCATTATTTGTAAGCGTCATTTAAATCTGTTTCGCATGTATTAGTTTTATTAGTGGACAGAGGGAAGCACTCGTCCGAGTGGCAAATTTACTCAGTAAGATTGTTACACACAACATCAGCATAGAAATACATGAAATGAAGGTGACCGCGGCGGTTCAATGTGCTCTTGGAATGTCCAACCTGTACACGTAAAGAACGATGAAGTAACCGAGCATGGACAACGGAATATCACGGAGAAAGAGAAGGAAAAGAGGAAAAGAAACTCGTGAGAAAGAAGATGAAAGCCACAACAAAAAGAAATACAAAAGAAAGATCCTGCTGCACTCGTGAAACACGTTTTCGTACAAACTTTTCAGCACCCTCTGTGGAAAATGTACGAACTAATCGTTCAAATAGTTTTACATTAACCGTTGAAATGATAATTTTTTGATGGATAATATTTCAATTCATATACAAATCAGCATATTAAAGATCAAGGATCGATCGTAAAAAGAATGTCTTATGATGCAAAAATTTATAATTGTGTTATATAAAACTATATATTGATATATAACTGATACGAAAAAAAAAATAAGATATCGTAAAGCAATTACTATGTATAACTGTTATTGAGTAATCATTTATATATATATTGATGAAAAAATAGTAAATTGAATAATAAAGATAAACTAATTATTTATTATTATATATTAACAATCGAAATATTTTTGAAAATTCATGTATCATATTTTATATTGGTATAAATAATTTGCCGATTAAATAATTCATAAATTATCCTTAATTAACCTTCGACGATTTAATCTGATATATTTTCTATCGCTATAGATTAGATGCCTTATGTTTACATCGTATTTATATTGATAATAAAATCATCTATTGATAGTAAATCCAATTCTATATATTATAAATTTAACGTCTATAAATTTATTTTATCACATATACATAAGAATAGCCTTGCGTGTACAAAGATATGTTTATTTGCACATATGGATTAAAGCCAACTTTTTTTACAAATAGAACTTTAAATAAAATTATTAATTTATTTAAAAAGTAATAATTTTTAAAAGTATTATAAAAATAATTTTTTAATATAATAATTTTTTACTATTAAATTTTACTATTAAATTTGGAATATATCAATCGATATTCTAAGAATTTATAAATATTATTAAAATTTTTATATTTACATAATATATTCATATATCATATAAAAAAATAAAGATAATTATGGAATATAATTATAAGAATTCTATTAGCATCTTATCAATTTTCATTAATATGATTTAATGACTTAATTATATTACTTAATGAAAAAAATATAAAATTTATAAAATAAAAAATTTTTTTTAAAGTTAAAACCGTCTTTGACAGTTAATATTGTCAATATATAATTTCATATTTTCATAATTATTATTATTATTAAAGTTGAATAAATATAATTAAGAGAGATGAAATATTCCAATGTTTTTTTTTTAAATTATAAGTTATCAAGATAAAAACAAAATCATAGTATGAACTATAACTATTAATTGACAATACATTATATAAAAACAAACATTACGTTTTGATTAATATTTTATTTATCAATATTTAAAAAATTACATATATATTATGTGTATCCATGCATATTGTAATAATTTATTATACAAATTAGTTTAAATATCTTTTTAAAAATAATATGATACTTCATTCTTATTATATAGGTAACGTGATTACACTTGAACGATTAAACTATAATTCGAATACATACATAATATGTATACGGAAATAACCAATGCCATATTCAGGGACAACTGCCTTAGAAAGCAAGGTGATTGGAAACCGAACAGACGTATCTTAGAAATAGCACGTAACTAAAACTGACTCTACAGTCTGTTGACCCTTTAAATGCCCGTACACACATGGAAGAACACGATATAATATAAAACATTTCACGTGCATCACTGTTTTAAATGATCTGTTTTTAAAATGCTTTATCGATTGTAGTTAATAAGTAATAAAGAATAACAAGGTAATGAAGGTAAAAAATGTCGATAAAAATACTAAACATCCTTTCTTAATGATGATCAATAGCATCTGACATAATCTACTAATTTCATATATGTTGTTTTTAATTGGCATCTTCATTCATATGTGATAGTAAGAATATAAAAACATATGAAGAAAAAAAATTATATATGTATGTATATAATATAAAGAATAAGAAGACAAAGAGGATTATTGAATATATTTTTTTACAAATATGTTATTTCTAAATATTATATATTGCTCGTATCCCAAAAATTTCTTAATAATTTCGACGCATATCAATATCAATATATCCTAAAGAGGGAAAGAATCGACATGCAAAAAAATATGTTCTCAAGAAAATGAATGAAAAAACATTGGAATTCACGAAACAACACATGTCACATATCATACGTTTAAAATAATCGAATTTATTTTCTTTTCAGATAATATTCCCATATTTCGGTTAAGCAAAATTCGTGAACTGTCGGTCACATTCGATGAAAATAACCACAATCAGCATGTATGAATTATGTACAAAAAGTCACTTATTTGACAAGTAATTGAATTTTTTTAAATGAACACTGGTTTTAAACACTAATTGGAGATATTTCAGAAATCTTACGAGTTTTATATAACAGTAACTAAAAGATAACAAAGGAAAGCCGCTAGGCGAGTCACACCAACACGAGGTCTGTACAAAATGATCGACATACCTGTGTAATTACTTAACGATTGGCGTTTTATTTCTTCTCTATCTTCTGCACGTATTCAATAAATAATTAGAATGAAATTCCAAATACATCAAATAATCAACTTTTCTTGACTTTTGAATAAAATTACACCACGTAATCACAATGTTTTTTCTTGCTCGTAAGAGACAATATGGCGGTACAAATTCGGGTGCAGCATGTCCGGCACGATGTAACTATGACGCCACATAGCGGGAAAGAAATGATTTAATCCTACCGCCAAAATAGTTATAATTTTAAATTTTTTTAGCTGTAAAAAATTAAAAAATACCAAATTTAAACAGTTAAAAATTTTAAAATAATAATTCTATAATAAATAAATTTTTCTATTATAAATATAATATTCAATTGCATAAAAAAATATTGATTTCCAATATCTTTTCATACACTGCCATCTTACGTTAAAAAAGTAAATTATAAATTAATTTAGCATCAATAGGTAAGGAAGATTTCTTTTACAACCAATTATTGATAATATAGTTTTCTAATATTTTTCCAATATATTTCATGTGATGGAAAGATATATTTTATCATACAAGTATAGTTATTTTCTTCAAGATGGCAGAATACTAATTTTGGAATCTTCAAAAGATTCAAATATAATCAGATAATAAAATTAAATAAAATATTGAATTATATTTAGAGATATTTTTTTCTCTAATGTCAGTATTTTATTAGATATAAAAATTAATAAAATTGAAAATTAAATAAAATATTATTTTTTATGATAAAAATATTATAATAAATAATAATACTATAATTTTATATGAACATAAAATAGCGTGCGAAAATAGATTCAAAGACTACAATATATATTTTCTTTAAAAAAAAATGTCATATCTAAAAAATGATTTCGCATAGATTCTATAGATTTTAATTAAGGATAAAGATTTGAAATAGATCTAAGTCGACGTATAGACGTTGATCAAAGATGATCTTAATGTTAAAATACATACGTTTAAATCTATTTTTAACAAATCTGAGAATCTATAGCGTTTCTAATGAATATTATTTCTATAGACATTTTATTACAAATTTTACTATGAGAATGCGTCATACATCTCATGACACTTACATGCATAGACGAAGCGTACATCCTGGTAAAGGGTGGGTTGACTCTCATAAAAATGTAAATGATAATAGAGCGGTCTATATGTATTCTGCATAATATCGACAACGGTTTTCCATAACGTGTAATGCAAATGTGATAGTTATTTCAATGGAGTAACAGAGTTCGTAGGAGAATGTGACATAGATTTTCCATATAATCAAAAGTATATATCATTATACATTTATTATTCAATCTTCAAAGTTAAAAATTTGTAAACTATAATATATTACATATATCGATATTATTAATTAGAAAAATTATTATGCAAGGTAATTTTAGATCGATTAAATATCTATTTAAAAGCATATAAAGTAAGAGAAAATATTACATGTCAGGAGGATCTGTTCCAAAATATTGCAAAGAATGATTTCTAAAACAATCTATACGCGATTGCCTAGAATCCAAAGATCTTCAGATAATCCATAAGATGGTTTGATCTGGATGCGCGGCGTCGGGACGCAAGGTTACAGCGGTCGTCGGGTCAGCAACACCACGGCCGCCCTCCTCTCACTCTCTTTCTCCCCGTTCCCTTCCTCACCCTATATCATCCTTCCCTCCCTACGTTCTCCTGCCCTTCCTTCCTTCCTAGCGTCCCACCCCTCTCAACCAGCTAGTTAGCCAGCCCTTCCTCTCGATCTTTCTCCTTTATTTATTCTCCCGTTTCCGTGTCATGATGCGCCATCTTCTGCGAACCTATAGAGATTATTTTTAACAATTATTGGATAAAATATATGAAATAATATATTAATAAATATTTATAATTTTATTAGCTACGAATATATATATTTATTTATCAGATTAATACGCATAAATTGATTAATATTTATGAACAAGTAAGTTTATAAGATTTTTGATTTCAAACAAAAGAAATCATCGATAATCTTTTTCCCCTAGTGATAAATTCTTATTTGTTACTAGGTCAAACTCACTATTTCTTTATTAATTTTTCAGATTCAAATTTGTACAAGATATATACGCAAAAAAAAAAAAAAAAAAATAGATATTGATGTAAATGAACATATATTGATGAAAACAAATATATTCTTGCAATAAAATATAATTTATTATTACAACATTGCAGATAATAAAAGTTCAATTCAACATTCAAAACATTTTTAGATAAAAAATTTTTTGATTTTATATCCCCTCCCCCCCAAAAAAAAATTTATCGATGGAAATACTCATGATTCATGATTACACGATCGAACGTTTACACTCGACCTTGAGTGTCGTTTTAATTTTCGATCACAGGCATTCAATTTGATTATTGCTGGGTTGCTAGTGCATTTAACCCTCCGATTGTTATCCAATGCGGTAGTCGAGCTGCTTGCAAACAACGCAGTGGAGGGGGTGTCTGGGTCACCCCCTTTCATGCTAGTCTGTCTGGCTGGCTGGCTGGTTGGATATCTTGCTGGGGTTCGCAACCCCAGCTTTCGTAGCGCTGTTACATAGCCTATGACACCGAAATACACCGACTGTTTACATTCAGTCCACGTGTATCAATCTGGACTATTGATTAAACAACTGTAATGACTAATTACGAGCATGCCCTTTGAGGTGAGCTTTGATTATGCATCGAGATTGATCGTACAATGAATTCGAAGATGAATTCCTGTGATGAATTAATACAATTGGTAGAATAGAATTGTATCGTAAATTTTTAATATTTGAATTTAAAATTATCGATATTTTTAATG